GCATTTGCAACATTCGTTGAACAAGTTGCGTCATGACGGAATCGCGAATGCTAGCGGAATTTTGGAATATGCCTTTTTAGCCCTTGCAGGGTCTCATCGTCAGTCTGTCAGGTTGAATGGTACTTTTTACTACCAACCGACTAAAGTTGTATATTCTACACTCCCGCACTCCAACTGTTGTCAGTGGGTATGAGATGTGTTGATATGGAAGTGTTCATGATTGGTTTTTTTGCACGTCAATGTAAAAAGTGATTGTGTATGTGTGTTGTATATTGGAGTTGTTTTTTTGTGGAATGAGATTTTATTGTAACAGGACGCCTGATTCCCTGGCACAGTGAGCTCTGTCGCATCTGGAGGTGTGAGCCCCTTGCGTTTCACGTCTCCAGGAGATTAGAGTGTTTTTTTTTTTGTTTTTTTTGTTCTGGCTAGTATATATGAATCCCAGTATGTGTGTATTTTGGCCAAGATGGTGTTTATTCAAAACGACTTCTTCGTGTGTTTGGTACATTTACCATTGATTAGTCTCGAAAACATTTTCCGATCACTTAAGTTTTTCATACTGCATGGATTGTTGGTGTCTCACTTTTGCTTGCAGTGTTCCTACAGAACTGTGGATCTTATTTTTACTCTCGTTGTCATTTCCAGCCTTAACAACTGGTATCCAGACAGCGGTATTGCATGTTGTTTTGGTTATCAGCAAATGTGCTTTAGGACAAAGTTGCTAGTTGGGGTTTCGATTTATCGTCTGGGGATTTCTACAAGCTTGTTTTGGACGACTACTTCATATATGACGCGGCACTCTCAAGCCCAATGTGTTTACTCAGGCGAGTTTTGACTTGCACAGCGTTATTACTACAGCTCATAGTTATGTAGTGAGCTTTTTTGTCTTTATTTTTTCATGTGTCTACCCAGTCTTCACGAGTATCGTCTGTAGTAATTTGAAAATATGGACAACCTTGCACGGTGTTTCGGTCATCACGCTCTTTTGAGTATCTGCTGCTTGACTCCATTCTCAATCTTCAAGTGGGATATGACTTGGAAGTACATGGATACGGGACTAAGGATAAGTATGGTTTTTGCGTTACTACAGTTCTTCGTCGCAGCCGTTGCATTGCGTTTAGGTCGCGGGGTGATTATTGTTTTGAACGAAGCTGCGTTGTTCCAAGAATTCGGGCGTCTCGCAAAAGGACGTATGTAGGCTAGATGACGACGAGCTGATTACGTCCTAGTATCACGTCTGACTAGTATGAACGTGATCGTTGACTATTCTTTACATTCCACGTATTCTCATCGGTTGGATAGATAGGAATATGTAATACGACCTGGCTTGATTCGTCTGGGCCTGGTAACTTATTCTATTTATCGTTTGTTTGTTGTACGTTGAGCCATCTTTACTGTAATCACCCGCCGCATTCATATCATGTTTGTGCAGTGGGTGGGTGGTTCTCTGTTTTGTGTTTTTGTTTTTGCAGTGCGGTATTGTTATGAGTCTTTGTCGATTGTTCGTAGTCACGCGTTTCTTATTTTGTCGGGCTTAGCGACATGATTTATGGTTGGTTTTTGTGGTATCGTGGTGACTTGGTTGCGGGAAGGTCTGTGTTTGTTGTGTGGTAGGTGCGTGGTGTTGGGGAAGTGTTTTTTGTTTTTTTGTTTTTGTTGTTGATCTTGTTTTGAAGAGGAAATTTTGAAAAATTCGCATAAACGCGCATGCTGAGCAATGGTGTGATTTCTATGAATATTCATGGGTTTCTTTAACGTAAAAGACTAATGATTATTGGACATTTAGATATTCCTCAAATTAATCTTTTGGTGAGGCTTAGTATGAAAAGTGGTTATCGTAGTAAGTCCTTTGTGTTCTCTGTTCTGCGGTAGAGTCGACGCTCTGAGTTCCTCCGTTGTCTCCAGGAAGGCGCAGTATAAGTCTGAGTTGTCGCTCTGTGCCTATGCGCAGTTAGTTAGTAGATACGTGGATTTCAGTCTTTGATACGCGCTGAGATCCAGTTGGGATCATGTGTCTAGAGGGTGGCGTAGTATCAGAGTGCGGTTGGGTTTGTGTGGGTAGGGATGTTCTTCTATTTGGTCAGTTTGTCTTAGCAGCGACGCTTTGTTCTACTGCTTTGTCGGCGTGGTTTTTCAGGTGTGGGCGATCTAACCAATAAACCAACAAACACGGGCAAGGGACCCACCACACATCTTGGAAGGCACCTCTAGCAACAAAGCATGGGTAGCTGGTCCGACACCACGCACCAGCGGACATGGTCAAACTGGAAGACAAAGAGTGCAAAGAGAAATGACAAGGTACACGGGTCAAATTCTCCTGGTCCACATATGGTGGAAAACAAAAAATCACACTTCAAAAAAGCAAAAAACATACAAAAAACAAAAAAAAAAAAAGAAAAAACACAAAAGTCACACAAAAGTGAATTTCCAGCAAAACCACAAAAACATATGAGAACACACACAGACCGAAGGGTTTGTATAAAAGAACAAAAAAAAAAAAAAAAAAAAAAAGGAAGTGACAACAGAGAGAAACAAAAAAGGGGAACAAAAACGACAAGAAATTAAAAAACAGAAACAAGAGAGAAGCAACATAATAAATACTTAGTAGACAAAAAAGGGAAACAAAAAAAAGGAGGAAAGAAACAGAAAAAAAGAAACCCAATGTACTACTGTGTGCACCAAGACTCTGGACCCCTATAACAGAGCTTGTGGTGTATTCTCCCTTGCTACACAGACGACACACTAACAGCCATTATATGCGACGTTAACTCTGCGTGAGAAAAATTTCTATTGTATTGGCAGACCATGCAACAAAGTTGCACTCAATTGCTGTCGCACAATAGCCTTAATAAACCTGCTGGTATATCTTTTGTCGCGCTCACCTGTATAGACGCCATACTTGTCAACCTCTCCAGCTATAGGGTGAGAGGGTCTTGTCTTGCCAAGCAGCTTCGAGAGGCCCTTACGAGAATTCCGCTTCTGCTTCCCGAGTTTCTCTCTCACCAGCTTGTATTCACCTACTGGAGGTGAGAATGTCTGTGTGGGGGGAGTGGGGGGGGAGGGTTGGAAGCCAAATATTCACTGTGATACTGTACTGGCCTGTCTTTTGACTAGTGGTGACCGCAGGGAAAAGAAGGGGTGAGAACACATGTTGGAGCTGCCCTTATTAACCCTCGGCGTGCATGCGCAGCGAGGGTTACGGTACTTGGTTTGTAAGTGTGTCTGTCTGTCTGTCGTCCATCTGTCTGTTACCACGTTTTCTGCGACTACACGCAACGAGACAACAAAAAAGCAATACCAATGGATTCATCGCTACACTGGCTTCATTTTAAAAAAGGCGAAAAGTTATGGGGTGAAAAGAAAGGGAACAAGCCAATATGTTAATTAGCACTGGCCTACCTCGACTGATCCGCTTGCTCTGTGTATGACTCCCGCATGCTATCCACTACTGATCAGGTTTGCAGGGTGCTTATGCACTTGTTCGGGGTGGTTCAAGAGCATCGAACCTTGTCAGACTCTCCGCGAGCTACTAGCAGGAAACGCATACTAAAAGCTCAGACCATCAATTAGCAGTACCGCCCATGCGCAGTTCGCCGAGGGTTTGTACTTTACTGCTTTTCATTAGAAACAGGAGCTGACTGGACTTGTTGTACAACAATAATTTTCCAGGGGAAAACCTCTGCGATTAAATACCCAACTAAAATTTCGCAACTTGCTTGTTTTGCCATACAAACAGTCCCATACAATGAGAAAACCTTTACAGTTTCCTCTGAAACAACGAAGAAAGGTTTTTTCTGCCTCAAACGTTTCCCACTGTATAGTATGATGCACACATACACAAAATTCTCAGTTGGAAGATTACACTCAATATACAACACATCGTGTCTCACCGGAGTTCTGATGTAGGTGTGTGGGTCGGGGAAGGGAGGGAGGTGGGGACTGATATGAGGCGGCCTCTGTCTCCGCGTGCCCACCTGGAGGACTCGCCGCTGCGGGGCAACGTGCCCATGGACCTCTACAGCAGGTAATATAACAAATACATACAGTAAGTGGAACATCCTTAACTAACAGCAGGTAATATAACAAATACATACAGTGAGTGTAATATCTTTAACTAACAGCAGGTAATATAACAAATACATACAGTGAGTGTAATATCTTCACTACCAGCAGTTTGTTACTATACAAATACATACAGTGAGTGTAATATCTTTAACTACAAACTACAGCAGGTAAGCTACAATACATACAGTGAGTGTAATATCTTAACTCACATGCAGGTAATATAACACATACATGAATCAGTAAGTGGACATCTTTAACAACAGCAGGTATATCCAAAATACATACAGTGAGTGTAATATCTTTACTGACCAGCAGTGTAATATAACAAACTACATACAGTACGTGTGATATCTTTAACTCACAGCAGGTATATAACACCTACAACAGTGAGTGTATATCTTTAACTACCAGCAGGTCATATCACAATACATACAGTAAGTGGACATCCTTAACTACCAGCAGTAAGGTAACAATACTACAGTACGTGTGAACAGCACTTGGAAGCACTACAGCAGGAAATATAACAATCCATACAGACTCAAGTGTAATCTCTTTCACTAACTACATTCCGCAGGTAATACAAATACATACAGTAAGTGGCACATCTTTACTCACATCAGGTAATATACAATACATATCAGTGAGTGTATACTCTTTAACTAACAGCAGGTAATATAACAAATACATACAGTGAGTGTAATATCTTTAACTATCAGCAGGTAATATAACAAATACATACAGTGAGTGTAATATCTTTAACTGACAGCAGGTAATATAACAAATACATACAGTGAGTGTAATATCTTTAACTGACAGCAGGTAATAAACAATACAGTGAGTGTAAATCTTTAACTACAGCATAAATAACAAATACATACAGTGAGTAACATCTTTACTACCACAGGTTATAACATACTACAGTGAGTGAAACTCTTACTAACAGCAGGTAATATAACAAATACATACAGTGAGTGTAATATCTTTAACTAACAGCAGGTAATATAACAAATACATACAGTGAGTGTAATATCTTTAACTAACAGCAGGTAATATAACAAGTGTTGACAAATACATCCTGTGGAACCTCTTTCACTCACTGCGCACGGATGATATGTAAGTCATTGTGAATAAATAATGATGCGGAAAAGGCGGTTGGGAAAAGATAAAAGCCGACATGACATAATATAAACTCTATGGTACATTCGAAAACGTTTTACTACCACTAGCCAATTGTATTGGTGTTAGAGTACCTCGCGACTGCAACGTGGTTCATACACACTGGGTCTCTCAAAAGGAAGGGTGGATTGTAGGGGCATTGTACTAGAGGATTGAAGGAGAGGCAAACTACCATCACTAGGAATTTTAACAAGGTCCACGGTAGTTCTTTCGGGACAAAACTTAACAGGCCGCAAAATAACAAAGGGCCATGTAGTAGCCCCTGGGGTGCATTAGGCAAACGTAGGAGTGAGACTTACAGTTACTGGTGTGTCTGTGTGCATAATTATGTGAGCATGTGTGAGGTTCAACAATTGTGTAGGTTAGGTGTGAATGGGATTGCATACGTTTTGGCAAGTGTCTCCTCTGGGGTCTCTTGGAGTACTCCGACAGAGAGGCTGGGTCTGTACCTGCAGGCACCAACACACCTCACACTGATTAAAAGGGGACATCAAATGTCCTTTATTCAGCCAACATGTGTTCCATTTGTTTAAAAAATACACCACTGTATTGGTATGGGGAAAAAACAAGTGCCTCTTACAGAGAGGGTCTTGACAGCTGGTTTTACTGTCCCACATCCTTGCTATCACAATGCTCACTTACCGACGTCCACCAGAGCCAGCTCTACGTCAGTGTAAGTAGGAGCGGTGCGCGAGGCGACCTCGCAGTAGTCCCTCGCCCTGCGCCCCACCTGGTCGATATCTGGGCGGAGAGAGAAAGAGTTAGGTGCGCATCAAATGGGAAAAACCACGGATTTCCCGACTTACACGACTCTAGCAGTTGACACAGAGCGTCGAGAGCTCCTTTCTCGACACTCGTGGCTCCAGTCTCTAGACAGAGTGCCGCAACGGACGTCTGAGCCACTTGCTTACGTCCTTGCTTGTCCAAGCCCTCCATCAATCACCGTCATAAACAAAAGATTACGGACGGATGTGGAAAGTAGAGCGTGAAATACGGAACATGTTACGCAGGAGTATACGGTATACAGGCTTTGTAGGATGGAAGAGCTTGTAAGATCACAGAAGTACAATGAATTAGCGGAATATTGCGAAGAAGAGGAACTAAAGGTACGTATAACGTTCTACCGGAGTGTGACAAGAATGAATCCAGGCGATGTAGAGATATTTGTGTGATGGGCATCAATTAGAATCATGCCATCTCGTCGTTTGTTCTTTAGGCACCTCAGTGCATCCCCAATGCAGAGATATACGGAACATTACTAGGAGTCTATTTGGTTCAGAACGAACTGTGAGTTGAAAGAGTGTGTGAAGCATGTTTTGAATGGCAAGTTTGTCCTGGTTCTTCCCTTCATCCTCTCTCTCTCATTATGTGCATCATAGGGACCATGCTAAGCTATTGTGGCAGAGAATTCCCAGTTCAGTGAAGCAGGAACATAAAGAGATCAGTGAACTGTGGGAGATAGGAAAGAGGCTGTGGAGAAAAGAGTTTCCAGCCGTCTATGAGTTAGCAAGAAATCCCAAATGGCCTTCACACATTGAGCCTCTCGTCGCAAGTATTGTCGGTGAGACCCTTCTCTTCCTCCTCTTCCTGGCCCTCCTTCTCCTCACTCCTCCTCCTCCTCCTCCTCCTCTTCTCCTTCCCCATCGTCCTCCTCTTCCTTCTCCTCTTCTCCTTCCCCATCTTCCACCTCTTCCTTCTCCTCTTCTCCTTCTTTCCCGTCGTCCTCCTCTTCCTTCTCCTCTTCTCCTTCTTTCCCGTCGTCCTCCTCTTCCTTCTCCTCTTCTCCTTCTTTCCCGTCGTCCTCCTCTTCATTCTCCTTTTCCTGGCCCTCCTCCTCTTTTTGGTACATCTTTCTCCTCTTCCTCGTCATCCCTTCCCTCCCTTCCTAATAAGTTTCTTTTCAAGATTGTCTTTATTACATAAGTTCATTAGTATCCACCCTTCATCTCTCCTCCTCCTCCTCCTGCCTCCTCCTTCTAATCCTTACTATATCAGCTTGTTTTAACTTACTAGACAAAGGGGGTTCCCCCTCGTGAACCCTGCACTATTATACACCTTACTTCCTTTCCCTTCCACTCATGCTCCTGTTTCCCAGAAAATGACCTGCCCCAGGTCTCCTTGGAGACTGTGCAATTGCACATACCTTAAATGTTGATTGTCTGGGTAGCTATGCCTGGAGGGGCTGTCTTTGTATACATATGCAGGCCTGCCTACACACAATTATGTAGGCAGGTGGCTTTATAGATAATAATGTGGGCAATTTTACTACCCTATCACTAAGATGTAGGTGGTTGGCTTGCCTACACACTTTTGCCAATCCTATAGATGGCATGTATGATGTTCTCTGTTGATGGTTAGTAGCCCACACAGTAGTGGAAAGGAGATGCATGTGGAGCATGCACAGCTGGACTCACCCAGCCAGCTTCCCTCTGCAATTCATAATGCTTGGCCGTCCATATCCTTATTAGTATATATAGGCTTTGCTCGAAATGCAACGCGTTGTTATGATTTCAATCATTATTCCCAAATACTATATCCGTCTATCTCAGCATTTTCTAGTTTGTTCAGCTAGTGATTATAACTACACTTCACCCACAAGTGTACAAGCAGTTAAACTCATCCTTTCCTCTCTCTCTCTCTCTCTCTCTCTCCCTCCCACCTCTCTCCCTTCTCAGAGAGACTAAGAGACAGGGTGCTAGTCCTGGTGGGCAAGTCCTACTCCGTCATTAGACTGGACGGCCTCTGCTCCCTCCTCGGCCTCTCCACAGACCAAACCAGACACTGTGAGCTGTTTTCATCAGCAATGAATTCTGAAAAAATCTCTTTCCCATAAGCTACCTGGTGTTTGTACTATGGCGAGTGAGCACGAGCAGTTAATTTTTTTGCATTCTCGTGGGATTTGAATCACGTAGAACATTACAGTATGTGCAGTGCCCATCGCATACGTGCACGACAATCAGGCAACTTAGATAGGCTCATTCCCTCGCCACTTATACAGTAGCATTGCATCTGTGTTGTATGATTTGAAGAGCTGAGTTGGCTCCTTGTGAAATTTGAACTCCTACAAGCTGAGTTGCTGGTATGTGCAGCTCAGCTGGTGGAGCACTCCTCTGGAGTGTAAGTGCATGGAGTAATGTGAGTGCATGGAGTAATGTATGTGCATGGAGTGGTGCATGAGTGTCATGAGTTCGAATCCCAGCCAGAGCAGTTTTTTTGCTTTGGAGAAAAAGGAGTTTAAAAAAGAGTTAATGTCCTAGGTGTAGTTGCTTTTCCTTTGTCTTAGACCTTAGTTGTTGACACACAAATGGGGTACCATAGACGTCATTAAAAAATTGTTATGGGTCGTTACAGCAATTTGCCACACCTGTTACCACTGTTTCTCCTCTTAACATACATACTTCCCTGCCTGTCCCTAGAGTGTAATACTATTCCCTAACATAAAGGGCCTGTGAAAAATGCACCGAAGGCTGCTGGCAGAAATAGCTGTGCATTCAAGCCTGGCCCAACACTTGTCACACTGGCTCTAGGTTGCTGCCCCCCCAGAGAGTATATACGGCCAGGGCGAAGTAGTGCAGCTAAATTCTAAATTCCTCGGGTTTCCTCTGATGTGTGGACGCCAGTGGGAAACAGGTACTGGAAGTGGCTTTTTCATGTCATTTGATAGCCTTTTTGCAGGGCAGTTGGGCTCTCTATGGGAGGTGTGGGGGAGGCTGGGGCTTGGCACTGTTGCTGCTTCAAATCAAATCTGTGCGTAGTATTTTCTTTATTATGTCTAGCCATAATTGGCTAGTGAAGCAAGCCGGTCTAGGCGTCTGAATCGCTATTTTCCTTGGTGCTGTCCGTACAGTCACGCTTCAAGAAATTCTAAATACACCAGAGATTTTCCACTTGTGCGTTGGCATTGTTCTAGTAATCAGATTAGGGTGTAGAATGTAAGGGCTGTGCAGCTTGATTATTGTATGCATGGTCTGGAGGTGTGAGATGTCTTGATATTCTAGCAATGTTGCATGACTGATTATGTCTACTACGTGTATCTCTCCACTAATCATGTACAGTGGAACCTCTGATAATGAAGAACCTCCCCCAACAGTGAAAAAACTTCTCTCTAATGACCTAGTATGTACCGATCGTGCCTTGTTATATACTTCATATATATCATAAGACTGTGTTTTTGGGTCACAAAATTTGTTATTGGTTGATGTCATGAGAAAAAGGTTATGAACATGGGTTATGAGCTAAGAACAATGGAAAATGCTGACCAGCAGTTTTCGTGACTCAAAACTTAGTCTTATATGAAGAACCAACCCAATTGTGTCTTCAATATAATATTAATACCTCTCAATTAACAAAAACCCCATGAAGTAATGAAAAAGATAGCTGTCCCAATATTTTTCGTTATTTGGAGGTCCCACTGTACCCTGACCCCGCCTTCAAGTGAGGAAGAGGGTGTGGTGACAAGACAACTGACAGGGTTCTTTGTTGTGGTGGTTGTAAACATTCATGCAACTTAGTTGTGACTACGCTGGCTGCGTGCAATAAGATTCGTTGCTTACCTGTGTTACGTTCAGGAATGTCATTGGCTTAGCTACCGAAAAAAAAGACTGTCAACTCAGCGCAACCAAGAATTCACTTAATCTCTGTTAAGGGTGGGGTCTGAGTACAAGACCATCCCCACGTCTGCTTGCGTTCCTCGGTGGCTGGAACAGTGTGGTATAGTGGGTAAAGACACAGTGAGTTTCCGTTAATCTGGGACCACCTAAATAGCCAACCACATCTCATTTATTTTCTCAAACTCTCTCTTTTTCTCTTTCCAGTGGCCCAAGAGAAAGGGTGGGAGGTGGACATTGGAGCCAAGATAGTTAATCCTAAGCCAATTTCTGGTGAGCCAATGTTTGTCCTTCTCTCCTTTAATCTCTGGCATCACCCCACGGAGCGTGGTAAATAGTTTTATATACGTAGCACCCCACAGAGTGTAGTATATAGCTTATTATTATACGTAGCACCCCACGGAGCGTGGTGTATACGTATATTATAGCACCCCACAGAGTGTGGTGGTTTAGTCTGTGGAAACTGGTGATCTGTGTGCATGCATGCAAACTTCAATGGTTTACTTCACAAGCTCTGCTATTGCATCATTCAATCATTTGTCAGTTCAAAATTCATTTTCTCTCTCTCTCTCTCTCTCTCTCTCTCTCTTTCAGCAGCAGTGGAAAGTGACAGTCTGTCAGAGCACCAAGAAAAACTGCAAAACCTAACAGACATTATTTCCTTCTTAGAGAATTGAGTTTTTAGCAAACACATACAGTCATCGTGGTGTGCTGTACTGGTGCACCTTATTATTATTATTCGTGCATGCACAATAATGGGGAGGTATGTTATTCCGGTAGATATAGATCACGTTTCCGCAATAATTGCGCATGCGTTGGCGGGAATTAGTGCAGCGCGCGCATTGCGCCGGCCAAGTAGAGAGTTTTCGTCGCAAGTTCTGCAAAGCTGCAGCCCTGCACGCGGGACACTGTTGGCGCTGTGAAAAATGGAGAGGAGCGGGCATTATCCACAGCTGATGGTAGCAAACTACAGATCTCTGCTGCAGTGAGTTCAATCAAACGGAAAACATGATCACTTTTGCGCTACAGCTTAGCTTGCTAGCTATCCTCCCGATAGCGGCTCTTTTCTAGCTACTTGCATTTTTTTAATAACATACACTTCTTGCCTTGTGTTTACACCCACTGATTCACGATCATTTTACCACCTCTCTTCCATTGCTCAATGGTTCAGGTCGCTTCTTGTGGTGGTATGGCTGTGTGGTGTGGGTATTCTTGGCTCCAGTGGTGCAGGTGGAGGAGGGCAGGACTGTCTCCAGCTCTTTGACACCTACAGTCAGGGAGTCTACGTGTGCCAGCATCACAGCGACCTGATTGTGGCCCTGCAGATTGCAGAGGAGTTGGGTCGCGAGGAATGCCAGAGAGCCTTCGAGAGGGAGATGTGGAACTGCTCCAGTTTCTCCATCCTCAGAGCCCCCAACGTCACCTCACTGGGTAAGAAAGTCCATGCTTATATAGGCTAGATCTTATATTGGTTAGGGGTCTAACATCTTTATAGGGTAACGTCTGAATAAGTCATTTCAGGCTTATAGAATGGATCCTTCACTAATTGCAACCACTGTCAAGCCTAACTCTGTGTCCTACATGTTCAGTGTGCTGCACACTAGAGCCTTCTAGGCTGCCTCTTTCTCTGGCATAAAATGTAACTTTCATTTTTGAGACCCTGAAAAGGTAGACAGAGTCACAGTGAGGCCCTAGAGCTGCCCTCACATTTTCTCCATTTGTGGAAATGTGGCAGTATAATTATAGCACACAAACACACTAGTAGAGTAGAAAATAGAGTGGTGCAATTAATAAACTGACCAACACTGGACCCCATGAAGCGGTATGACTTACAGGTTCACTGGAGAGCCTTCGTACACTATAACAGGGCTTCATGATCTGTTCCTATGCAGATTATGTGAAGGGGTCAGAGTCAGAGTGAGCCAACCCTCAATATACAACTCTTGCCGGTTTTCCTTCAAATATGTTCTAAATGTCCTTATAGAATTAAACCGGCAAAGAGTTGTAAATTCAGGGTTAGCTCACTCTGGCTCTGACCACTTCATGTAATCTCAAGTAGTAAAATTGTGCTCAAGTTGATTTCGCCAATGGTTAATATGCTTGCAATGCTGTTACTCAATTAAGGCTGTTAGGGGCACTATTGGCTACCAGTCCTGTGCGGGTGTACTAAACCTTTACCTTTCTTTAATCAGTACCCATTGTGCTGCAGGTGTTGTCTATTAATCAAGGCTGTGATAATCGGGGCACTATGGATTGGCTAGAAAACAATCTCAGCAATGTCACACGATAATTCCTAATCACTGCACACGGCAAGCCTCTGTAGGTTGAAACCGAGTGATGGACATGGGAGTGGTAAACAACCTCTTAGGGAACCATTAATAAGGGGGGTCAAACTGAGTAGTGGACACATGGGAGTGATAAAGAACCTCTTAGGGGACCTATCAAAATCAATTGGGGAACCATTAATAAGGGGGGTCCTGAAACTGAGTAGTGGACATGAGAGTGATAAAGAACCTCTTAGGGAACCTATCAAAAAAAACCTATCAATTGGGCAACTAATCATTAATAAGGTGAGTCTATTAATTAGTCCCAAACTGCTTGGACAGGATACACTACCACAAGAAGGAAGGAAGGAATACACTCACACACCCACACACTCACACACGCGATACACAGAGACCGCAAACCAGGGTTACCTTTCTATCACATAGACACAGAATGTTAGTAACTAGAGCAACAGTACCATTTGTGTGTTTGGCCCAATACTGATTCCCGTGGTTGACATTAATGTAGCAAAGGGATTTGCAATAGATTCGGAAGACATTGACTATTAATCAATGCATTGTTTCATTCTAAGATGAGTTACCTAACGTTTGGGCGTTAGCTGGATATTGGTTGTTAGTAATGAGAGTTGTCCAGATATTACACAATAATTATCATGTATGATATCCATTGGTTACAATCGGCAAAGTTTCCGAAATTCCACATCCATCCCACATGTGATTCAAATTCCATTCTTTGGATGCCAGCAATTAGACAATCTGTTCAGGACGCGTTATCACGAGGATCAAGTGTCTAATTGTGCCATCCTGTGGTCACTTGCCTATATCATTCACATACCTACCAACCTGCAGATAAACCTTTGCTTGAGAAATGTATCAAATTTGGAGTATTTTTGCTTGAAAATGCTGTGTGTCCATTCACAATGTATGGGCATAATGCATCACAGGTTAGCATAATAAAAGAGCGATAGGCAGTATTTTTGCTTAATTATCAAGCAAAAAGCTGGATGGTTGGTAGGTATGCATTCACCATTTGGAATACGCTTAAAATTAAGTATGGTATAGATTTAGTGACTGTGAAATAGCTTCTTTCCCACGCCTTCCCTGTTTACACAATGTAATCACTGTGGGTCGACGGGCGTGTAGGGTTCTACTGGATGAGCAATAATTGTGGGATACTTTACTACCAGAACTAAGGTAGTTGGTCTAACTTTTCTTCCTCTGTTTTCAGCCACGAAAGAGGCGGCCTATGTGCACGCCCTGTCACTGGCGGCCATTGCCCACTCTGTGGCCAAAGTGTGTGCAGTGGGAGACGTCACCTCATGCTCGTGTGACACGGAGCAACTGGAGCTCCCGGCTACTGACAGCGAGAGACGCTATGCCATGGGCTGCTCAGACAACGTCGGGTTTGGACTCAACTTTGCCGCGCAGTTCCTGAGGCTGAGGCACAGTATCACCACAGCTGACTCTCTCCAGGAGGGAGCAACCAACGCTCAGTGGAGAGAGGTTTTCCTCCACAATCTCAGGACTGCTGCTGAGGTGAGACTGAACTTCGCAGATAATCAGCTCAACAGTTGTAGATAACGGTGAATATACAGTGGAACCTCTTAATAAGGGACACCTTGGGGACACCAAAAGTGCATTATTGTACAGCAGAGGTGATTCTATAGTATGAGGCAGAACCAAGTTTCTTTTTTATAATAGAGGTTTGTAAGGACATCTTAGTGGGGGAAAGTGTCCCTTATAGAGAGGGGTTATGCACATGGACTGGTGCATTCTGTCGTGTGAAAAGGTCGCTGTTGCTATCAGCGCTCTGCCTTCTCACTGAGAGCCTTTTTTGGAAGGCCATTTGTCCGAGGTGTTAAGAAATCGGGACCAGTGCGATGGATAAGTAAGTAAGTGCACAAACAGCTTTGCATAACTAAGCGAGCCATTGATGTTACACATCAGGCTTCCCTCCCCCCTGCATGCAGAAGGCCCATGGTATGCCACACTGCCAATTGTACGATGCCCTCTAGGCAGATTGCCAGACAAAATTATACATTATAGAGTGGTTATAATAATATTATGGTGGGAGAATCTGGTGTTACTACATTCCGGGCAAATTGTGTTGGTCAAACAAATTTATTACAGTCTTGCCCCACGATTCGCCGAATGAAAATTGCTGAACCTTTTCTCCCACACATGCAGGTGGTCCGTGGGAAGACGTCAGTGAGCACGATGCCCTGCAAGTGTCTGGGCGTGTCCGGGACCTGCACAGTGCTCTCCTGCCCCCAGCAAAAGTACTCAGAGTTTTCCATTCTAGCGGAGGAAATTTTGAGGATCTATCTCTCTTACACCTGCCAATTCACGAGCACCAGTGCTGCTGCCATAACACGAGACCGAGGAAACGGGTCGACTGGCGGTATTAATGACAGGGTTTCCCCTCAGATTACGGTGAGTGCCGGCCAGCAGCGGTCGTGTAGTCAACCCAACGAGAGACATTTCCTGTTCCTGGACGAATCTCCGAACTACTGCGTCCGGGACGTGGTGGTGGGGTCGCTGGGGACGGCCGAACGGAAGTGCGACCCGCACACCACGGGACCAAATTCCTGCGAAAATCTCTGCACCCGATGTGGGTGGGGCCACGTAAATGTCACGCAGAGGGTCGAAGAGATTTGTTACTGTAGCTTCAGCTACTGCTGCGAGATACAGTGTCACAAGTGCCTCAGAACACAATACGTCTCAGTATGTGCATAATAATTGGTGTGTGTGTGCCTGTGTTTTGTTTCATCCTCTACAGTTAATCTTAAATTCTATTTGACTATATACCCTACCAAAAATTAAACATTTTAAGCTCTGTATAAAGAGATAATACTGACGACTATAGTGAGAAGCGATTTGCACAAAAACATTTCATGTGGTATAATAGATGATGATGTGTTTTGGAGTATGTTGCATCATGTGGTGTACAGATTGTTACTCTTTCTTCTTCATCTCTTTGAGTTCGATCTCGGGGGGCGGGAGAGTTGATCTGTATACCCTGCGGCCAAGTAGACCTCCGGACAGAGATCCTGCAGCTACACCTGTTGGAAGAGAGAGCAAGAGGGGAGGGGGGAGGGAGGGGAGGGAGAGAGAGAGGGAAGGAGGGAGAGAGGGAGGAAGGGGAGGGAGAGAGGGAGGGAGGGAGGGGGAGAGAGATATTGCAAATGCAAGTGTACCTTGGACGACACACAGACGTATATTATGCCGAGAAAAACACCAGGTGGGCTCGCCAAATTACTATAATATACTTGTAGACCCACAAAGAGGGTGTGTGCATATACTGTGCCATAGCTCTTGTGTTGTAGATTTGAACCCCTACCAGTTGGGCTGCCCTGGTAGCTCGGTTGGTACAATTATTATAGAGAGCTTGCCTACACTGCAGAGTGCCATGGGTTAGCCCAGGGCTGCTCTTCTTCGGAAAAAAAGAAAAGCTGTCCTGGGTATAGTTGACTTGTTTGTTGTGCCTTTGCCTTCTACCTCGTAGTTGACACGATGTGCGCGTGTGTGTGTGTGTGTGCCTATGCAGTGGTGTCCCACCAGTGAGAGCAGCGGCAGCCCCGATGTTAGCTCCAGCCACCAGTCCAATCGGCCCACCCACCAGACCCCCTACCAGTCCCAGTACCACTGCCCCTCCCACCGGCAGCAGGTAGGACTTGATGTTGTGTCTCGTTGCCTGTGTGGCACGGAAAGCAGGCACATTACTTACAGTAATTCCCAATTACTACAATGTGTTATTGTGAATACCTATAGTACCGTATCATGTGGTAGTAAATTTACTTTCCAGTGAGAAAAATTGTCACACATTTCACAGTTATTAATTGCTTCTGTACATATTTTGATATTATATATGTTGCAGTGCCCAGACGGGACAGCATGAGCCCTGTAAGGGCGAACGCTGTCCTGTCTGGGTACTGCAACAGATTTGTTGGATATCCCTAGGCAAACGACATGTACGAACCTTGCTTGCACATGTAGGATTGTATAGGCTGATAAAATCCCCCAGTACCTAGCTTCATACATGTCGGTTGCCTAGGGATATCCAACAAATAATTATATATATAATTACAATAGCTCCATTTGTGGAATTCGCACATATGTATCTTTTGAGAAGTACTGTCCTTACATAACCTTAACACACACAAGCCAAACACACAGCTTTATAAACTTTATGGCCACACTTTCACGTTGACCATCAGATGTATCTCTAAAAGCAAAGAGGAAACCACAAAAACTGTGGTACGGTTGGGATTGTGGAAAACTGTGTCCGGGTTTGGTGCCCCAGGCTCCCCCTCACTTCTTGATCACCACAATACGATGGGATGGTACAGTCAGGGGTAAGGGAAACTGCGTTCAGAGTCTAGCTAGTGTTCCCAACTTCCCTCACCTGTTAGGGAAAGCTTCTCCTAATGCTTTCTCATCCACTGGAAGGCCTCCCAGGGTCTAGGGTGTTTGTAATGAGGTGCAAGATCAACTCTACAATACGATGGGATGGTACAGTCAGGGGTAAGGGAAACTGCATTCAGAGATCTCCCAACTTCCCTCACCTTTTAGGGAAAGCTTCTCCTAATGCTTTCTCATCCACTGGAAGGTCTCCCAGGGTCTAGGGCATTACAAGTGTTTGTAATGAGGTGCAAGATCAACTCTACAATACGATGGGATGGTACAGTCAGGGGTAAGGGAAACTGCATTCAGAGATCTCCCAACTTCCCTCACCTTTTAGGGAAAGCTTCTCCTAATGCATGCTACCATTCCCACACACACATGACTTAATTGCATGCCTCACATACACGTTGTGAAAAGCGGTGAATTTATCGTCAGTCTACACCGGGTACACGGTGGTACCATGAGCCGCAGCTGTCAACATTACATTCTAACAGAGGCCATACACTTCACAATGGCCGGAAAGCTGCAGCAACACTCTGCAATGCTTTACCTTCGCTGGCTGTATTATAGCTCAGCCCTCCCATGTAGACATACACATTGAGGAATGCAATGCATTGTTAGCGAGCGAGCGCGAGCAGTTCAATATTTCATGCTTGGTGGCTGTCGCTGTTAAATAGAATCACATATGTACAGTAAATTGTAGAACTGAATATTACGGTGTGCGTGGCATCGCCGGATAGAAAGAAATGGAAATCGGCCCGGGCCGTTGACATCACAAGATACAGGCTTGCTTCACTCCGTCAATGAGTAATGCTAGCACGTAAGCACTGGCACGGTGTAGCTTTCTTCACTGGGGTTACCTCAGATTAATTAAACCACACATCTATCTCCTGATCAGTCACGGCTGGTAGACTGAAAGAGTGTGTATTATTATAGCTAAGCCTATCTATGTGTTGTGTATCTGAATTGAGTACGGTCATATTTTAATAATGAAAAACTGCTGAAGTTTCGCACTTGTGGTCACTTGCCACAAATAATATTACATTTTGTATGCGGCAAAGAGTGTTGGTTTCTGTTACATAAAAAGGCTTTACGTCTAGATTAGCCATTGCACATTCTTGGCTAACATTTCACCATCATAATTATTACGTAAGAATATTGGCTTGATGTTCATTCATTCAACATACCTCGTGGAGTCTGAGAAAGTGCCTCATTCAAAGCTTACTTACAATGTTTGGGTACTTAATTATCGGTGGCACCTGCCGTCACTACACGGCGTTACCGCATGAAATTCTCTAGTATAAACACACACACACACTTAACAGTACACTTACGCCATACTGTTACTATTACTACAGCAGAACTTGTTGCATAATAAGGTACAATTCCAATATGGCATGATTCAAAGGCACAGGGGCTCTTAATGCACACTTTTAGTGCTTAAAGCAATTTAGTGGCATGCATGTGACAAAACAGAAGGATCTGATTGGCTGAAGGTCACATGACAGCACTAAGCACTAATAATACTAGAAAGCTCACTGTGGCTAGTGTGGTCTGTCCTCCCTTCACGTCTTGTGTAGCAACGTCCAGTTGCTCGTTCAAATTGGTCACCTTACTTCGATGAGACTGTGAAATGCAACAAACATGATATCATATCGGGTGATAATGACATCATCGAGAAATGCAACCTGTGGTGTGTATATATACTCACCTGGACCTCAGTTGTTAATGTGGTCATGATATCACGGAGTTCGTCCAGCTCCTATTGGCAGTGAATGATACTCAGATTAGAAACACTTGCCATCATATATACAAGAACTGAAGTCATCATTTCGACAGGCAACTGCCACACAAATACTTGATATCAATTATATACATATACTCGGTTTGGAGTTGAGCGTCTTTGGAGGTTTAAATACCCCGGTCTGCTCCTACATACTGAGTGTGAGTTTACTGTGCCATAGCACAGTGGTTTGAGGTTTGCCTTGTGTTGTGTTGAAGACTTGAACCACCAGCTGAGTTGGTAGAGCGCTCGCCTAGACTGGATATTGTCGTAGGTTCGAAGGGTAGCCCTTCTTTATTCTTTGGAAAAAGAGCTCTCCTGAGTGTCAGTGACCTGTTTGTTGTGCTTTTACCTGTAGTTTACACTGGCCAGTGGGGTATGTGCATGGGAGTTCACACGTGATGGTGTCCTACCCCCTGACACAAGGGTATGTGCATGGGAGTTCACACGTGATGGTGTCCTACCCCCTGACACAAGGGTATGTGCATGGGAGTTCACACGTGATGGTGTCCCTACCCCCTGACACAAGGGTATGTGCATGGGAGTTCACACGTGATGGTGTCCTACCCCCTGACACAAGGGTATGTGCATGGAGTTCACACGTGATGGTGTCCTACCCCCTGACACAGGGTATGTGCATGGGAGTTCACACGTGATGGTGTCCTACCCCCTGACACAAGGGTATGTGCATGGGAGTTCACACGTGATGGTGTCCTACCCCCTGACACAAGGGTATGTGCATGGGAGTTCACACGTGATGGTGTCCTACCCCCTGACACAAGGGTATGTGCATGGGAGTTCACACGTGATGGTGTCCTGCCCCCTGACACAAGGGTATGTACATGGGAGTTCACACGTGATGGTGTCCTACCCCCTGACACAAGGCAATGAAAGGCAAACATGTGTCGTACAGAACATGAGGCAACATGGTTGCTTCGACAAAATTTGCAGCAACTTCCATTGGTACGACGAGCCCAGGCGGCGGATCAACGCCTCTTTGCAGGAATATGGACGAATGCCCATCGCGTCCACTCATCATCAGGCTCAGCAACTTGTTGCTTGAGTTGCCGCAACATTTGCTGTAACAACCATGTTCCACCGTCTGTGTTGGCCCAAAGGGAACTTAAGTCACTCACCGATTTGAGCTGCTCCCACGATTCCTGAGTGTGTGTGTTGGTGGAGCTGTGGCCTGCAACAGTGCTGGGTAGGAACTCATACTGAGAGGAGGCTGGGGGAGAGGGAGATGGTGAGAGGGTTAGAGATTAGGTGGGGATTTATGAGGCGAAGGTTTAAAGAGAGGATATTGAAATGGGGAGATGAGGTGAGAGAGAGGGGGTTAGAAAAAATTATGTCTGATTGAAATAGAAAGGGAAAAATACAAATCTGAAATGTATGGGCATAATGCAGGACAACCTGTGTCATCCCTGTACTACTGTACTTAGTGATGGTTAAAAAAAATGAAGATGAGACGGAGGAATGAGGTAAAAGAGGGAGTGTTAGAATTTTATCAGGAGAGAGATGAGAACGAGGAGATAATCTAGAACATGTTTTGAACTAAATGAGAGAGTCATGAATTTGAGTGTTGAGGGAAGGAGAGCTGAGTGACTGGGAAGTCGCACGGGTGATAGCAGGACGATGAGGCGAGCATCGTTTGCGAAGGCAGGCGAGTATTACTGTGCACGAGTGCGTTCGAGCTCTTCGTTCGTCTCGGGGCAGCAGCGTAATCTCTTCGTCATTGTCCTTTCACGCTGTCTGCGCGCGTCACTTTCTCGATGTGTACCTCGTATGGTGTATCTTGCGTCCTTTATCGTGTTTGCTAGTGGGGTCGTTCCATCGTCGAGAGACCAGAGAGAAGAGCGATATCAGAGATAGGTAGAGAGTAGCAGACCCACCCATATCATCAGTCTCACCCATCAGAGCCCTCCCAAATCCCTCCCCATCCGGTCCTCGTTACTGGTGGACACGAGTGACGACATACATCCGTAAGACTGCAGGGCATCTCCACAGCTGTCCTCGTCCACCTCAGCCACGCGCGAGTCAAACTGACCCACCTCGAGGTGGCCACCTGCTCTCGCAGCTCCGTGTAGATGTCCGCAGTGTGTCTTTGAGTTTCTGAGACGACAGAGCGATCCAACTCTCATCATAACTGCACAGGAGTACCGTGTATGCTTTATACAAGTGGAACCCCTCTAATCTGGACATATGGACAGAAGAAAGTGTCCATAATAGTTTGAAGGTGTCCTATCAAACTACACTGTTCGTGGCCAAGAGGTGTAACTATTAGAGAGGTGTCCAAATTTAAGGGGTGTGAGGGTGTCGTAGAGAGCAGTTGCATGTTCTAATGCAATCACACACTCCCATACACCCCTACAACAAACTTTTCTCGCCTCTTATACAACCGTTAGGTATTTTATGTCCGAGATGCCTTCACTACCCATTGCATGCTAGCATCCGATCTCACTACAAATCCAACTTCGATCTTTCTGTGACCCTTCAACTGAGTAGATCATTCTATTTTTGCGTTTCTACTAAGGATTACAGTGCATGCACTGCCTACTATGGATCACAAACTCCTGTAGAAAATATCCCATGATGATGCCATGAGAAAAAAGATGCTGAGCTCTGGACAGCTGTTTCACAGGGCTTGTTGGCCTGCATGTTATGGTCACTACTCTCAACTTATACGTTAATCACCCCAGGATAAACAGATTTACGGTGCCAACTGGTAATGGGTGTCTCTTCCGGATGTTTATCGTCACTATACAATTCACAACTCCCCTTCTCTCTTGGCATTGATATTGGGTCACGCAAGCCTGCCATCTACATAGTTTGTCCTCGAATTAATTATATTTCTGTAACTGCACTTCCATGTACACACTTTGGTAACGAGGTAGAAAGGCAAAGCAGACAGCTATCTTTAGGAAAAGGACGAGCTTGCCCTAGGTGAGATATCGAACACGGGACGACACACTGCAGTCGAGCGAGCGCTCTACCAGCCAGGGCAACTCAGACTGGTAGAGGTTCAATCTACAACACATAAACCGCATCGTGGTGTCAAAGGCACACTCAAACCACCCTCAATGCACATGTATACTCTCACTCCGAATGTAGTAGAACCCCATGTGCATAATAAGTCATACAGACATACTTTTTTTCAATCGTGAGTACAATATTTACCACAAACCCCCACCCAACACCTCCCGCCAACAAAACAAAACAACTGTTCAGTCATCCACACTGAGCAGTTCTGCAGCGTGATCTGCTCAGTGTTGACTCTGTCCCAGTCACGCTCCTCTCGAACAGGTGACGTATTATGTTCTCGTCTCCTGGTGCTGCTGTGGAGAGCACCATTGAACCCCAGGACCACCCCGCGTGTACCCACCGTAGTTGTCGCCACGCTCTGCTATCACACGGGCTTCCACGATACGAAATAGGCTTGAGTGAAACACCTGAGTACGAGAGAGGAGGGAGAGAGGAGAGAGAGAGGGAGAGAGGGACGATCTGTATAGTCTGCGATCTCTCTATGGCGCTATGCTCGCTGCTCGTACGCACTCTGACTCTGTCGCAGCTGTGCTCGCTTTCTCGCGTTCTCTACCCTTTCTCGCTCTGCTCTCGCTTTCTCGCGACTCTCGCTCTTTCTCGTCTCTGATCGTCTCTTATCTCTTTCTCTCTTTCTCTCTTTCTGTCTCTCTCTCTTCCGCTCTCTCTCTTTCTCTCTCTTTCTCGCTTTCTCCTTGCTCTCTATCTCGCTCGCTCTCTCTCGCTAGAGCGAGTCCTCAGCTCTTGCAGATGAGGGATATAGAGAGCTCTCACGCTATCGAGCGCAGGTCAGAGTTCGGCTTCTCACCACTTTTAAAGGTCTTTCCCATCTCCAGGGAGGGAAGCTGAAACTACTACTGCGTGAATCTTTCGGTAAAGCCAATATTAGAGACCGTCACATTTCACACAGAGACCACACACCGATCTTTGGCCATCACGTAGATAAAGATAACTAACTGTAATAATTAGAATTATACTTCATTTACTACTACTTTTTGTATCAAGCCCCTAGCTCCAGACACTTCCATTTGTGCCATGCAATAGTTAACCATGTGATAACAATGTCTATGTAGTTAGGCCTCCATATTGTGTTTTTGTAACCCACATGCACAGTATTTTGAAAAAAAAGGAAAAAAAGAGAGAGGAGAGAGAAGAGTAAAAAGGTCACAAATAGTCTCAATGGGCCAGCCCGATGACACCGCCTACGACTACGGATGCACGTGACGTTGATTGGCCGTTCTCCAATCTGATTGGAGACCTCATTTTCGAGAGCAGGACCAAGAAATGTGTCAATAGTTACCAGACCCTGTCCCTTTCCCACGTGATAAGTGGGTGGGGTCTGGGCATGTGACTACTTTTTTGAGGCACTGGCTCCGTGGAAACTGATTCATGCAGCTTTGTTGCAATTCAGCAAGCTATGTAGGGTGTTAGTGTAACACACCTACAAAACACATATCCAGTACAGTGCACATGCATGGTGAGAGTGGCTGGAGCAAACATAGGCAGAGCCAACACAGTCTCGCGGAGCCAGCCCCTCTCCCATGGGCAGGCTCTAGGTCACACTATGTGATAACACACGTGCACTCATTCGTGCAGCTTTGTTTCAGGCAAACTATACGGTGTTAGTGTAGCACACATACAAAAAAACACAAATGAAGTATATACAGTGTAACTACTGCAGCACATGCATGGAGAGGGCGAAATATTTGGTAGGCAGCTATGGACTATAAACGTAGGCACGTGCCTCCTCGTCCTCCTCCGCCATGGCGTTCACAGCAGATGCTCAGCCAGAGAGCTCCCTCCTCCAACAAGAACTTTGTTTTGCTGGTCTGGCAAAAGGGACGACTACGTCGGGGAAATTCCCGGAATGTGCCACCATTTCTAATTGATGCACACCTGTTGTTTAGCACGTGTTGTGTGACCCAAGAAGCTTTTGTTTTCTAGACTTCGTCCCGTGTCTCGTGTCTCCCCTCTTACTACTTTTCACGAACACCATGGTGAGCTTCAATTGGTTGGTTAGTTCAGCCAGTGTCAAGGCATGTGTTTGGGACACGTTTGTGTAAAGAAACAGTAACCTTGATACCAGTGCCCCTCAAAAGGACTGGTAGCGAGACTACTTTGTTTCCTTTATTGCGCTGTGCACCTGGTTTTCACGGTGGTAGATGTTTTTCGCAGTCGTAGGTGGGTGCTTTCTGTGACAGTGTGTGATTGACTTGTTTTCCTGTCTTGCCCTCTGTAGAAGTCGGCCTCGTCCACCTCGGTAGGAACAGGGAGGGCTGGCTCGGGGACCAAGTCACCGCGTGGTTCCTCTGGAGGTGGCCTTCGACAGAGGTCTCTACAGCTGTTCCTCTGTTACCTACTGTGTTCCATGCTATTTCATACTTACCCGCAAGAACACATATTACGGGCTTTGCATCTTTGGTGTTATACATGCAGCAAGATAAAATGTACACAGGATACCTTTCCTCACCTCAGAACTAGCTAAGACTATAGCTTTGGCCTTTCACTTTCGCTACACCCCATCCTGTTGTCTTCCTCCTTCCTTATCTTCCTCCTTATCTTCCTCCTCATCTTCCCCCTCTCCCTCTACTGGCTGCTTTAGTTCCACAATCACTTTCTGTTAGTTTCTATAGCCTTATCCATTATTATGTAACTCTACCCTATGTGGTCTTCCGTGTACTGAGCATGGCAAAAACTGTTCCTCTGAGAGTACATTACAGTAGGTTGCTAAATATTTGCACATCGGTAGAAAAAGGGTACAGTGGTCGCGAAATGGGTTTATTTCCCGACTTAAGGTCTCTTTTTTCGCGTACACAGTCATATGTAGAGTCAGACCCACTTGTAGAATGATGGCACCTGCTGTTGTGTATGTTGAAGTTGAATTTCGGCCAACAAAGTTGTGTTGTGTGTCTTTGGTGCCTTTATTCTCTCCCTACTCTTTCTTTTCCCTCTCCCTTCCCCCTCCCCTCTTCCCTCAGACGTAGCACCAACACACAGACGGTCACTTCGAGGGCTCGGGGGGCAGGGGGAGGGGCTGGCAGCATGTGGAAGTTCTACACTGGAGACGACTCTCCAGGCTTCAAAATGTATGTGCCACTCGTATTAAACCCTGACGCAGCGAGGGTTACGGGTTTTTTAGTGTGTCGTTCAGTCTGTTACCACGTTTACTGCCACCACACACAACAGCACCAAAAAGCGATACCAACGGGTTTGGTGCTACACAGGCGATATTTTAATGACCGTGATTTGATTTGAATAAGAATGCATGTTATGGTGTGAGAATAATTATTCGATACGGAGTTGTTGAGAGAAAGAAAATTGGTGGGTGCGGCTAACTCTGCTCTGTTCTGCTCTCGGATCCAAGTTTTTAGGGGCTTTCTGCGTCTGGAGCTGCACGAGCATTGGCTCTTCTGGGTTAGGAGGTGTCCTTTTCTACGAGGTTCCAAATGTATTAGTATAATGGGAAGTTTAACAGTGGAACCCGTTTGCTCTAGGGGCTGTGACCATGCTACAATTGGTCAATCAGAAGTTCTGTGTGCGTGCAGCTACTCACATTCACTTGCCAATAATGCGTTGGATTTGTTCTGGTATGAAATGACCTGTGAGCACAGCACAGCTACAGTAGGAGCCCTGTACCTAGCTTTCTGAGTTGCTATATTATAACCCCCCCCCGAATGTTGTCTGCCTATACACGTAAACCATGGCCAGACAGCATGAGGTGATGCTTATTTGCTATCTGTTTCCTGTGCTGTAGGGCACTAAGCAGTCGCCAACTCTTTACTTTTCTACACATGTAGAACACGTTGGACTTCCCTTAGTTATTGCCAAAAACTGTTTACTTATATTAACCCTCGGCGTGCATGCACAGCGAGGGTTACAGTACTTGGTTCACATGTCTGTCTCTGTCTGTCTGTTACCACATTTTCTGTGACTATGCGCAATGAGACAACAAACCAGCGATACCAACGGGTTCATCGTTACACTGGCTTCATTTTTAAAAGGACGAGATTTTCGTATATACTGTATTCAAAAGTTATGGCGTGAAAAGCAAGTGAACAAGCCAATATGCAAATTAGCACAGGCTTACCTCGACCGGGTCCGCTTGCTCTGTGTATCTTGAAGGCACAAGAAGTCACAACGAAGGGCGTGTATCGACTCCCACATGCTCTCTACTACTGTAGCTAGTCCGTGTCAGGCTCTCCGCGAGCAACTGGCGTGGATACCACGCGTAGAAACGCATACTAAAAGCCAAACCCACCGATTAGTGGTACCGCGCATGCGCAGTTGGCCGAGGGTTTGCACTTTAGTGCTTTATAGGACTTTGGAACCCTGAAAGTATTGGTCGTTTTGATTATCTTTGTCCATTTTTCCGTTGTGCAGTGGGCCTGTTCCAGTGCTGGTAATGAGTCTGCTGTTCATTGCCTGTGTCTTCCTCCTCCACATCTGGGGCAAATACTCACGATCATAGACTGGGAACCAACCTCACATTCAATATTTCTGTGCATTGAATCACATCATACTGTGCATGCACGACGTCATGCGGCCGGCTTCCGACGGCGCTTGCGCGCGCGCACGGCACTAATTATATGCGGGTACGCCCCCTGTATTATGCGATGCACAGACGACAGCAGCAGTGGCCGATGAGATGGGAAGAGAAACTCCAGACGCCTGCTGCAGGCTTCCAGTTCAATTCAACCAGCCTTGAGTTATAGCACCTCCATGGCTTTCCTACGATGTCTAAGTCGATCTCGACGGCGCTGCATGGTGCTGAGTCTGGCCGCGGTGGTCACCTGGTTTTGTTTCTCCCTCCTGAGTGTTCCTACGGACGACGGAGGGCAGCCGTGGTTGGCTGGACAGGGGAGGACCGTGAAGCTGGTGCGAGCAGAGGGTAGCCACAGGAATATCTTAGACGTGGGAGACGCCTCCAAAGGTAGCATATCTATGGTTCAGAAGGAATGTAGTTCCATCTAGCTCGTCGTGTTACATAGCTCTTCAGCTAGCTGTAGTTGTAGCTGGTCACTATGTTATAGCTTGTTCTGGATACTATTATACTGCCTACCAAGGCAGAGCTAAAGGTAAACACCAATTCCCAAGCGAAAGAGAAAAATTCAGGTGTCCTTCAAGCCTCCTCATCAAAGAATCTCTCTTATGTAAAATGATCAGTAGGTGTAGGAGGTACAATAAACATTGCATTGGGGCACGGAGGAATACACCCCAATTAAGGGAATGTACAGCCCTTTCATCATTGGCCTAAGTACTTTCCAGTAAGCCACATGGTTCTGTGGCAGTAATTAAAGTTACTATAGGTAACTGCTAACAAATACCCATACTATATAGTGTACGCTAGGCTGTACATAGTAAATACTACCTATGTATACTGGGGATGCATTGGGGATAGAGGTGCTAAGGTTGGCTTTTGAAGCCTCAACGTCTGCAGGTATACATGTATATCTCTTGTTTGCAGTCTACAACGGGATAGGTTACAAGTATACTGCTGGTGTGTACTGTTGATGTGGTGATACGTGTAATACTCTAGGAGCCGCCATAGCTAACAGTGCAGCTAACAGTGCAGCTAACAGTGATAGATTACAAGTACATGTGTACTGTATACTGTTGAGGTGATATTCCTCTAGGAATGCAACCACAGACAAGTGGGGGTGTGTAACCAGTTGGTGGTTTCCTTTTGGGAACTGATTGTCAAATACACCGTTTTGATGCTGCAATAGGGGATTTCATGTTTCCTGACATCACGTTGTAGAACTAGTGGGTCTTGCATACATACTCTGTGTAATACAATTTGTTGGATACAGTATCTCTAGGCAACCGACATGTATGAAGCTAGGTACTGGGGGATTTTATCAGCCTATACAATCCTTCATGTGCAAGCAGTTTACATACATATGTCATTGCCTAGGGCATATCCACAAATCTGTTGCAGTACCCAGACAGAGCGCATTCACCCTCTACAGCGCTCATGCTGTCCGGTCTGGGCACTGCAACATGTATATATAGGGTATAACCTATTTAGATGGTGGCCGTGCTGACCGTCAAATAGTCCCGAGCCCGTCGTCTTCCGCGAGACTCGCTCTCACCGGGGAAAGCTAAAAAGATCTTCATTTTAGTTTCTTTTTGCATCGTAGAGAGGCCTTTCATCGAAGAAGCATCGGATACAGTGAGCTTGAAGTCGTCACTGCGAGCTCTCAGCGACAGAGCGAGTTTCTCTGCGCGGAAGCTTGCCACACCCCCATCGAAGACGCCATTTTTTGGCGGGCGTCTCCTTGAAACACGCACTTGGAAAATACGGGATTTAGAATCCACGTTTTACGCAATCTGATTGGTCAATTTGAATCTGCCGACGTCTAAATGTACGATAGGTATGTACGATAGGTATGTGCTAGCATGCAGGGAGTATATAGAGATTGTATTGCTAGCCATTGTGTTACAGTTCCTTCCTGTAGTGCACCTTATTATGGTGTGTTTCTGCATCATAGCCATGTCTGACCTCCTGCACTGGCTCGCTTGTCTAGCTACGCACTCATCCACGCCTGCAAATTATAAGGATACACGCTGCAGTACACCACCATGCATTGCAGAGTACCCCTGAAAATCGTCAAATAAAACGCCAAAAAATTGACACTACAACTTGCGTTTATGTGTATCATTTCCACAGGAGACGTTGAGGTGAGGCAGGGGAAGGAGGAGGAGGTGGAGGTGATGGTGACTACAGTTGACGTCAGTACCTCACAACCTTCTCCGCCATCCGTGCCCGAGTCCAGTAGGGACTCAGAGTGTAACGGACCGTGGCCTGGTTACCCAGACTGTGGAGAAAAGATTCAGGTGACTAACAATGTACATAATGGATACGCAAACAACAATAAATTAATAATTACATACAGGTAATACAGCAGTCTTTGGGTCTCAAAGCTGCAATACAGCACTTTGCTGCGCCTCGTAGCTTCTCGACCCCGCCCCCTCCCCCTCGTGCTGTATTATGCGTACAGTATAAACAACCATGGAATGATTATATTATAATGGAAAACAGGAGAAACTTTCCTGGCTTTTGCTTGTCAATATTGACAATCCTTTTACCCCCTGGGAAATGTTAAACTTGTACGGTATGATCGTTTTTCGGCTGTGTCCCAGCCCACACGTGGTCTCTGATTGGATTAGATTACAGTTTGTTTGTAAACTAAGTAATGGCTGCCGAGTCACTCGTGGCGAATCTCCTCTCTAGCTCCCACACTATGTACCTCTCACTTGGGGAGGTGGGGGGAGACTGCCGAGAGTCACTCGTGGCGAATCTCCAGTCTAGTTCCCACACTATGTACCTCTCACTTGGGGAGGTGGGGGGAGACTGCTGAGAGCCACTCGTGGCGAATCTCCTCTCTAGCTCCCACACTATGTACCTCTCACTTGGGGAGGTGGGGGGAGACTGCTGAGAGCCACTCGTGGCGAATCTCCCGTCTAGTTCCCACACTATGTACCTCTCACTTGGGGAGGTGGAGGGGAGACTGCCGAGTCACTCGTGGCGAATCTCCTCTCTAGTTCCCACACTATGTACCTCTCACTTGGGGAGGTGGAGGGGAGACTGCCGAGTCACTCGTGGCGAATCTCCAGTCTAGTTCCCACACTATGTACCTCTCACTTGGGGAGGTGGGGGGAGACTGCTGAGAGTCACTCGTGGCGAATCTCCAGTCTAGTTCCCACACTATGTACCTCTCACTTGGGGAGGTGGGGGGAGACTGCTGAGAGCCACTCGTGGCGAATCTCCAGTCTACAGTCTAGTTCCCACACTACCTCTCACTTGGGGAGGTGGAGGGGAGACTGCCGAGAGTCACTCGTGGCGAATCTCCAGTCTAGTTCCCACACTATGTACCTCTCACTTGGGGAGGTGGGGGGAGACTGCCGAGCCACTCGTGGCGAATCTCCAGTCTAGTTCCCACACTATGTACCTCTCACTTGGGGAGGTGGGGGGGAGACTGCCGAGAGTCACTCGTGGCGAATCTCCTCTCTAGTTCCCACACTATGTACCTCTCACTTGGGGAGGTGGGGGGAGACTGCTGAGAGTCACTCGTGGCGAATCTCCAGTCTACAGTCTAGTTCCCACACTATGTACCTCTCACTTGGGGAGGTGGGGGGAGACTGCTGAGAGCCACTCGTGGCGAATCTCCAGTCTACAGTCTAGTTCCCACACTACCTCTCACTTGGGGAGGTGGAGGGGAGACTGCCGAGTCACTCGTGGCGAATCTCCTCTCTAGTTCCCACACTATGTACCTCTCACTTGGGGAGGTGGGGGGAGACTGCTGAGAGCCACTCGTGGCGAATCTCCAGTCTACAGTCTAGTTCCCACACTACCTCTCACTTGGGGAGGTGGAGGGGAGACTGCCGAGAGTCACTCGTGGCGAATCTCCAGTCTAGTTCCCACACTATGTACCTCTCACTTGGGGAGGTGGAGGGGAGACTGCCGAGCCACTCGTGGCGAATCTCCAGTCTACAGTGTAGTTCCCACACTACCTCTCACTTGGGGAGGTGGGGGGGAGACTGCCGAGAGTCACTCGTGGCGAATCTCCTCTCTAGTTCCCACACTATGTACCTCTCACTTGGGGAGGTGGAAGGGAGACTGGCGAGAGTCACTCGTGGCGAATCTCCAGTCTAGTTCCCACACTATGTACCTCTCACTTGGGGAGGTGGGGGGAGACTGCTGAGAGCCACTCGTGGCGAATCTCCAGTCTACAGTCTAGTTCCCACACTACCTCTCACTTGGGGAGGTGGAGGGGAGACTGCCGAGAGTCACTCGTGGCGAATCTCCAGTCTAGTTCCCACACTATGTACCTCTCACTTGGGGAGGTGGGGGGAGACTGCCGAGCCACTCGTGGCGAATCTCCAGTCTAGTTCCCACACTATGTACCTCTCACTTGGGGAGGTGGGGGGGAGACTGCCGAGAGTCACTCGTGGCGAATCTCCTCTCTAGTTCCCACACTATGTACCTCTCACTTGGGGAGGTGGGGGGAGACTGCTGAGAGCCACTCGTGGCGAATCTCCCGTCTAGTTCCCACACTATGTACCTCTCACTTGGGGAGGTGGAGGGGAGACTGCCGAGTCACTCGTGGCGAATCTCCAGTCTACAGTCTAGTTCCCACACTACCTCTCACTTGGGGAGGTGGAGGGGAGACTGCCGAGTCACTCGTGGCGAATCTCCTCTCTAGTTCCCACACTATGTACCTCTCACTTGGGGAGGTGGGGGGAGACTGCTGAGAGCCACTCGTGGCGAATCTCCAGTCTACAGTCTAGTTCCCACACTACCTCTCACTTGGGGAGGTGGAGGGGAGACTGCGAGAGTCACTCGTGGCGAATCTCCAGTCTAGTTCCCACACTATGTACCTCTCACTTGGGGGAGGTGGGGGGAGACTGCCGAGCCACTCGTGGCGAATCTCCAGTCTACAGTGTAGTTCCCACACTACCTCTCACTTGGGGAGGTGGGGGGGAGACTGCCGAGAGTCACTCGTGGCGAATCTCCTCTCTAGTTCCCACACTATGTACCTCTCACTTGGGGAGGTGGAAGGGAGACTGGCGAGAGTCACTCGTGGCGAATCTCCAGTCTAGTTCCCACACTATGTACCTCTCACTTGGGGAGGTGGGGGGAGACTGCCGAGAGTCACTCGTGGCGAATCTCCAGTCTAGTTCCCACACTATGTACCTCTCACTTGGGGAGGTGGGGGGAGACTGCCGAGAGTCACTCGTGGCGAATCTCCAGTCTAGTTCCCACACTATGTACCTCTCACTTGGGGAGGTGGGGGGGAGACTGCCGAGCCACTCGTGGCGAATCTCCAGTCTACAGTGTAGTTCCCACACTACCTCTTACTTGGGGAGGTGGAGGGGAGACTGCCGAGAGTCACTCGTGGCGAATCTCCTCTCTAGTTCCCACACTATGTACCTCTCACTTGGGGAGGTGGAGGGGAGACTGCCGAGAGTCACTCGTGGCAAATCTCCAGTCTACAGTGTAGTTCCCACACTCACTTGGGGAGGTGGAAGGGAGACTGGCGAGAGTCACTCGTGGCGAATCTCCAGTCTAGTTCCCACACTATGTACCTCTCACTTGGGGAGGTGGAAGGGAGACTGGCGAGAGTCACTCGTGGCGAATCTCCAGTCTAGTTCCCACACTATGTACCTCTCACTTGGGGAGGTGGGGGGAGACTGCCGAGAGTCACTCGTGGCGAATCTCCAGTCTAGTTCCCACACTATGTACCTCTCACTTGGGGAGGTGGAGGGGAGACTGGCGAGAGTCACTCGTGGCGAATCTCCAGTCTAGTTCCCACACTATGTACCTCTCACTTGGGGAGGTGGAGGGGAGACTGGCGAGAGTCACTCGTGGCGAATCTCCTCTCTAGTTCCCACACTATGTACCTCTCACTTGGGGAGGTGGAGGGGAGACTGCCGAGAGTCACTCGTGGCGAATCTCCAGTCTAGTTCCCACACTATGTACCTCTCACTTGGGGAGGTGGAGGGAGACTGGCGAGAGTCACTCGTGGCGAATCTCCAGTCTAGTTCCCACACTATGTACCTCTCACTTGGGGAGGTGGAAGGGAGACTGGCGAGAGTCACTCGTGGCGAATCTCCAGTCTAGTTCCCACACTATGTACCTCTCACTTGGGGAGGTGGGGGGAGACTGCCGAGAGTCACTCGTGGCGAATCTCCAGTCTAGTTCCCACACTATGTACCTCTCACTTGGGGAGGTGGAGGGGAGACTGCCGAGAGTCACTCGTGGCGAATCTCCAGTCTAGTTCCCACACTACCTCTCACTTGGGGAGGTGGAGGGAGACTGCTGAGAGTCACTCGTGGCGAATCTCCAGTCTAGTTCCCACACTACCTCTCACTTGGGGAGGTGGGGGGAGACTGCCGAGAGTCACTCGTGGCGAATCTCCAGTCTAGTTCCCACACTACCTCTCACTTGGGGAGGTGGGGATCTGGCTCTTTTCATGAGCCATTATTTTAATGTCTATTTGGGTAATAGTCTCCCTTGTTCTTTGTTGGTACGTAGGACCACCGTTTCAGTGAGGAATAGCTACTACTGTAGTTGTACCACTTTTTGTCAATTTTTGCTACTTTATACCGTTGTATATACGTACCAATTTTTGTATAATATGAGTGGGGATTTGCTGTGGCTGGCTCGAGTGCAGGCATACCTGAACGTGGAGATCTCGTAGCAACAATTTGTTCACACGTACCCAAGTGTGGATAAACTAGTGCCAACAGTCTACTAAAGTTTTACTCAGGAAGTAAGATCGACTGACCCGTTGCCACACATTCACTCCATAAATATATGTATCCACGTACTATACGTCGTACGTGTGTTTGCTAAAGGGGGTTATTTGCTCCCCACTGCTTTAGCTGAAACATGTGGTTCCCCCATTTTAATCTCTATCTTGTACCTCTCTCCCTCTCTCCCTCCCTCACTCTCTCTCCCTCCCTCCCTCCCTCCCTGCCTCTCTCCCTCCCTCCCTCCCTCCCTGCCTCTCTCCCTCCCTCACTCTCTCTCCCTCCCTCCCTCCCTCCCTGCCTCTCTCCCTCCCTCACTCTCTCTCCCTCTCTCCCTGCCTCCCTCCCTCTCTCCCTCCCTCACTCTCTCTCCCTCCCTCCCTGCACTCCTCCTCTCTCCCTCCCTCCTCTCTCTCCTCCCTCCCTCCTCCCCTCCCTCCCCTGCCTCCCACTCTCCCTCCCTCACTCTCTCTCCTCCCTCCCTGCCTCCCTCCCTCTCTCCCTCCCTCACTCTCTCTCCCTCCCTCCCTCCCTGCCTCCCTCCCTGCCTCCCTCCCTCCCTCCCTCTCTCCCTCTCTCCCTCTATTTGTAGTGGATGATGGAACGCTGGGAGTCAGAGGAATGCTATGCAGAGCATGGAGTCGATGGCACGCGATGCTCCATGCAAATCTACTTATCCGAGGTTTGTAATATCGGAGGATGTGCCGTGTAACTAATAACTTGAATGAAACCGTTATTAACACGTCCCACATGCCTGCTGACTACATACATACGTTCACAAAGCTTTGTAAATGGTGTAGCAATCTTTGTAACGCACTCGGCTAAAGTGATTAATAACGTGTGTGCATGAGGACTACGTGTTGATGCATGTGATTGGTCAAAAGTCATGTGATCAGAAATATGTATGTGATTCGCGGCAGTTATCAATGTCATTCAGCGACATTAGAAATATGTAACACGTCAGATGCACATGTTTACAGCAATCTTCTAATTGCTCTAACGACTTAATCTCCAGCTCCCCCACTAACAAGTCTAATACATAATTCCCTTGTTGCACTGTGTGTATACGTACTATAGACACCTGCTGTGGTTTGAGACTATAAATCGATACTATTACTGACCTGACTATACATGCCATGAGACATTTAGCAGAATGATCACCAATCTGTAAATCAAATTTTTTTGACAAGATTCTCTTCACCACAAGTTGCATATATGGTACATACATGTACGTATTACAGTGATCATTGCATAACCACACGCAAGTTTGTGTGGATACGCTCGCAAATACGTGGTGTGCACGGAGCTTCGTTCTACGTGGTGACATGCTCTACGTGACGTTGAGCAATCTGATTGGCTGACTGAAAACTGGCTGACTCAGCACAACCAAGAAATCGCTCAACTGTCACCAGACCCTTTAGAGGGTGGGGTCTGGTACGAGACTTTACACCGCATATTCACAAGCGAATCCTAATGAGTCCACTGATTCAGCACAACCAAGAAAGCGCTCAACTGTCACCAGACCTTTGTACCTCACTAGAGGGCGGGGTCTGGGTACGAGACTAACGCACTGTACAAAGTGTTGATCTTAAAATGTGTGCACGTGCAGGTGGAGCAGTTTTGTCCTTACCTACCAGAGAGAGAAGGATACATCAACGACCTGGCATCAAAGGTACGTACACAGTCCATGGGGGACTAGACTGTGTACAGTGTAGAGTATGGCCGTTTGAAATACTCAAACCTGATTGGTCAACTAGTTTCCTACGTAGGATGAGGAAGAGCACCAGGTAGAAAGAGGAATACTATCGGGGTAGCGCTATATACTGGATAGTGTTCACCCCTCCAGGGCCTTTTGTGCACGCCACGCTCTAAACACTCAGACGACAAGTCGTGGAAACCACGTGATTTTTAGGAAGCCTCGGGCCCTGTAGTAGCGTCCCTCGCTACACTCAGACACCACGTGGCAAGCATTATGATGAATGTTTTACTTGAGGCTGTATGATATAAGGGCTAAATTTTAGAAATGTTACTAAAGATAGAACAACACAATAGGGGCACAGTGAAAGAATGCATCTTAGTTATCAGAATTCACTTGGAGGCACTTTATACATAATAACTCTTACAGTGGAACCTCGTTATAATGCAGCCAATGGCCCGGGGTTTTAGTGGCTTGAATAGTGAAGCTCCACTGTACTTAGCTTGTAAACCACAGTGTACTTTATCCTGTAATTCACACACAACATCCACACGCACACACGCAAATGCACGCGCACACAGCGTCCTGCAGCAACTCCGCGGTTCGAGGTGGACGGTCTTCTGAAGGAGCTCGGAGGGAACTCCAAGTTTGACTGGATCTGCCACCGCATCCAGAGGATGTGGCCAGAGTGGTACCAGGCCCTCCACACACTGCAGGCTCAGAAACCCTTCTCCCACGCCACCACCAACGTGAGTCTATGTGTGAAATTATAGTTCATAGCCATAGGTATAATAGATAGATAGATAGATAGATAGAGATGTAGCTCCTGGCCTACTTGCAAGAGGGCCACATTAAACTTTCGTGCTAAGCTCTTTCACCTCTGAAGCCTACACTTCTTTCCCATTCTGTTTGCCATAATAAGCAGTGGCTATGTTATTGGTGACAAACGTCACAAAAGTAGCAGCTGTTGGCTACAATGATTCATGTGCACAGCATAATAATTAATTATGATGATCAAGTTCTTGCTGAAGCGCCATTAGCATTGATGTATATGTATGTATGGTCGGGATCCCGCTCTTTTACACCTTCAAAACCCTTTATAGTCTACAGCACCTCTGTTGCCCAGGGATGTTAGTGCTGATTAGGATAGGTTTATAGCATGTTTTTCACAAAGGCTCCACTTCTATGTATGGCACAGGTAGTTAACCTGACGGATTGACCCATTCTTCTGATGCCATTGTTTCCTCTCTTCTTAGGTTCTCATCCACATTGGGGCCCTCACGGATAAGGCTGGGTTCCACTTTGCCGAGAACGCCGGGAAGGGAGGTCCCCTGGGGGAGCTTGTGCAATGGAGCGACCTCATCGCGTCTCTGTACGCCCTCGGCTACAACATTGACTTCTCCACTGAGATTGCCCAACTCAAATCGTCTCTCGTTGTCAACAACAGAGGCGGCTGTCCGAGTGTCTCGGAGACTAAGTACACCGCCATATTTGTGGACATTGTCGGGTTGAAGCAGCTCAAGAAATTGACCAAGAACCGCTTCCAGATGTACAAGTACGTATGTACACATGTTGTTCAACCCCCTCCTCCCTCCAAGTTTAACTTAGCCCCGTTTACACGGACGCTTTGAACCGGTTTCCAAAATCAGTTCAATTTTGTCGGGCTTTGGTCTCGTCCCCACACCAAAAACTCTTAATAGCCAACCACTGTTTAGATAACGTTTATGTAGGCAAATCATGATCAAAAGCTCTTCAGTTGACCCTGTGGCCTAATGGATAAGGCATCAGCCTCCGGAGCTGGGGATTGTGGGTTCGAGTCCCATCAGGGTCGGTCTTTTTTTCCAACTTTTTTTTTCATCCCCAGGAGTTTTTTCCAGTACCAAATTGCTTTATCAACCATACTTATTCAACAACAATTTTCCCCCTATTTTTCACACTCATCCAGATGTTTGTTGCGAGTCCTGGACACCTTTGGAACTGAGCCAGTGTTCAACTACAAGAAGTGGAAACCCGAAAAAGACGATCACAATCACGACTACGGTCACACCTGGGGAAACTGGGAGTTGAATCCAAGACAATTCTGGACCATGTACCGTAAGCATCTGATTGTACTTTGTAGTCTCTGGAGCCATTTTACTCCCAGCTTTCCCTCTTATATCTCTCTCCTCCCTTTCTTTTATATTCTTCCTCTCTTTCTCTACCCTTCCTCCCTCTGCTTTTCATTGCCCCACTCTCACCCTGTAAAATTTTACTCCTGGTCTCTCTCTTTCACACACACATGCAGCCTAACATGTATTTCACGTTTAAGATAGATACGGTATATTATAGCACCTCTAAATTTGTTTTACGTCCTCACCTCACGCACGCAACCATGTCCCCTCTGACTCTCTCCCTCTCTCCGTCCTTCCTTCTCTCACTCCCTCCCCCCTCCCCTCACACGCACACAGCTCACACACCAGACAACTCTTTCCTTGGGTTCGTAGTAGAACAGCACAGGTCCACATCCTCCCCCCCTCCACCGGACTCTCAAAAGAGCCTGGTCTACGGGAAGGAACTGTACATGTGGAAGGGGAAGAGCGACTACCTCAGTATCATTGCCAAGTATTTTGACGTGCATGCGACAATCGGTAGTACCGTGGGGAAAAGAGATAAACTTGACTGGAGTCTGGTTCCTTCGTTGGTTCACAACCACGGCATTCTCGGTGGAGCTGAACTACAGCAGCTACTGCAGGTTAGCCACTGACCGCTTCACTCACTCACACACAGACACATGAAGAGTTTGCATACATCGAGATATCAGAGTGATGTAGAAATCAACATCCTTCAAATAAAACTTAAACAGCAGCCATTGCACTATAGGGCCATTGACCACGCACCCAGAACACCGGGTGGAGCTAGAACAAGAATTAATGGAGGTGCCTGCCTTACCACACAGACACCCAAACTTACCCAGCCCCGTGACAACCCTTTTCAGGTCTCCAGGTGCACTCTGAGATGGGGACAGTTTAGTGCTAGGGGTAGTTGCCACCCACTACACTGAAGATAACCCTTAACAAGTTCAACCAGTGAAAAAATAATTTCCTCACATAACCTAACATGTTTTCCTCAGACTGTTTAAAGGCTTTAAATGCTGAAATTCTTCCCCAAGAGTTGCTTGCAGCTAAGGAAGGCATAGGCTTGTGTAGGCCATAAGTGTCCCTATACATCTATCTACCCTCTACCTCCCTGCCAACATCAACATCTCTCTTTCCTTCCCCCCTACACTCTAGGAATCCAGACTGTTTGTTGGTCTTGGATTCCCCTACGAGGGTCCGGCTCCCCTGGAGGCCATTGCCCAGGGCTGTGTCTTCCTCAATCCCAGAGTAGACCCTCCCGTCGACAGAACAAACAGCGACTTCTTTAAGAAAAAACCGACCAACAGACAGGTGTGCTTATCTGCAGTTCTTGTTACCCTGTGTGTACGCGCACACGATGCAACTCTCTTGAGTGATCAGACAAAGTTGCATGCAACGTCAAATGAGTTGCGAATATCTATTGCGTGCAGCATCGACCCGTCATACTCAGGAATTTGGAAGTTGCATGCAACTTTGTCTCACGCTACAACGTTGCATTGTGTGTCACGGCCTTAAGCGAGGGTTATTATATTGTCCATCCCTCCTCCCTTCATCCATCTATCTGTCTGCAACCCAAAGGTCACCAGATCTCGCATTGTAGATGCCACTAATTAACCCTACAAAAAAGTGGATTTTCTTTTTTTCTATGATGTCGTAGCAGCGTAAGAAGGCTCTTCAGATTGCAGGCTTAAAATCCAGGTTATAAACCACAGTAATGGACGCAAGCAGGCTGCCACCATCTGGCCCGCTTATATATTCTTAATGTACACAATTACTACAGCAATTAAATAATGGGCGATTGAATGTTATTTGCGTATCGTGTACTTGATAGTTGTTGTGTCATTGTGCGCACACATGCGTACCACACACACACACACACACACACACGCACACGGGCAGATTGATTCCCAGAATCCATATATGGCAGCATTTGTTGGGGAACCCCATGTGTACACATTCAATGCTGAGAACCTGACTGAAGTTGAGCTAACGGTCCAGAGGATCCTCAAACAACCAGTGAGTTATGCAACTTCAAATGTATGGATAAGATAGACCAACAAAGTTGCCTGAAATAGAAAGCATTTCGATTGCGTTATGTGCAACATGCAGTGTGGACCCATCACTATTACCCATACATTTGGAAGTTGCATGCTTTTGAATTTGCACACGCACTACCCACCAGTGTGTGTGTACTTGCAATGTACGATATGCATAATGATGCACTCCTCTCCTTACAATCTCCCTCTCATCTTATGTACTCCTCACTTACTTATATGTCTCCTCCCTCCCTCCCCCCTCTTCTGTCCCACTCAGCGTCCACCTCCCTACCTCCCATACGAGTTCACGTTTGCCGGCATGTTGGAGAGGATAACGGCCTACCTCAACAACCAGCAGTACTGCAGACCCCACCAGTGGCCACCCAGTGACTCACTCGTAACTAGACTCAGCCGACCTGGCGTCAGCTGTAAACAGACCTGCTACGATGAAGGTGAGTAAGTAGTGTGACAGCTTCTAGCATGTACTCAAATGTATGTATATACGTACGTAGCACTATACCAATTAAGGCCATCTATTTTTTTGTCGTCCTAGGTGTAGTTGAATGCACTTGCTTCGTGTTTACACTGCAGCTTATTGGCGAGTGAAGCGAGCCCACCTATAGTCATCTAAAGTGTATGCAGCGCTGTCCATACTGTAGTATATACATCCCAATATGCCTTAAATGACTATTCGTGTTCGCTCCTCAGCAGTAGGTATGTAGCTGTACACACTGTAGTGGAACTTTTATCTGGATAACTAAAACTATGGAAATGTTACCAATGCGAAAATCCCAAACAATTACGATGTCCCACTCTACAGTTACGTGTTACGTGAGTATAAACTAAAACAGAAAGTCTGTACAGTGGACGTGATGCGTAAGCGCTCGCACGGATAGCTTTCTTTATCAGATTAATCTACACATCTCGCTCACTATATCAGTCCTGGTAGGCTGAAAGCATAGTGACACGTGCATAAGTCAGAAGGAGCAGAAGAAAGGAAGGAAAATTCGGCTCTACCAGTGGGATTCGAACCCACATCTTGCTTCCTGGAAGGAAAGCATGCTCTTGGCAGCATCGTGTGCTGGGTCTGTATGATTTGGCAGGACACGAGGGCCCGACCCACCGTCCTCTCACAAGGGACTAGCGTCTGATGTCACCCTCCCTTTTGGATATCCCACTGTACGTACTTACGTGTCGTATTATAGAGATGGCACGGGTGTTCCAGCATTATGCAATGTGGTCTAGGGGCTTCGTGTAAGGTTTGCATGTCAGTCAAGGCTTTTAAGGCCAGGAAACAAGGGGTGCCATACATAAATGTGCTTTTTTGCAAGGCCTCAATCATGTTCATTAAGGCCGCCGTGAGCATTCTACCTAGCAGCACACACCCTCTGTCAGCTTCTGGTATGCAATAGTTTTCCAATCTACACCCCCGTAACTAATGAATTCCACCACTCTCTCTAATGAACATACATGTGTCGTCCCACTTATATAGGTCTAGTGTGTGAGCCAGAACTCTTCCACCTGTTGAACAATGAAGAGGCCTTTGCAAAGTAAGTTTCACTTGCTATAATTATACCAGTTGCAGTTTACACTTTCTCCCTCTCTCTTTCTCTTTCCCCCCTATTACATCCCTATGTATCTCTCTCACTCTCATAATACCCTCTCTCTATACCTCTCCGCCGCCTCTCTGTTTCTGTCTTTTAACAGAAATGGAATAGAGTGTCCCAGCATACAGCGTGGTCACTCAGTCCACGCTCCGTCTCTAGTCACCAGTGACTCTCACTGCTCCCTGCAAGATGATGAACTCATGCTCAGCTGTGCCGGCAGTGAAAAAGACGTCAAGAGACTCTGCTCGTGCAGACAGTATCGCAGGGGCCAAGTGGCACTCTGTCTGTCATGCTCCCTGTGATGTGTGGGTGTGGTCATTTTTATGGGAAAATCAAATGGGCAAACACAGCAGTTCTGTATAATATTCAGTGGCTATTGGCCTCTTGTCACAATAATATAATTATATATAGGCATCTGGATATACATGATCTTATTCCTTATAATATTGGCAACACCTCTTTCTATGTCATAATAATATTGTAGGTGACTCTTTTAATTAACAAGGTATCGAGATCAATATCAATTCCATTTCTGACACGTAAATGGTAATTGTGTACGTGGAGTTACCATGCCAACTATTGTTGGCGGTCGACCCACCCAGCACCCAGTGGTGTCTTCTTTGCCAACTTGTATGCAAACACATGGCCATATACAACCCCAAATATTGGTTGTTGCGTTCAGCTCTACTCACCCGAATGGACTAAACAGTACACACGTGGAGCCGTTGCCTGGGTGGTATATTAATCGCAGTAATTGTGCAAGTGTTAAGTACATGCACACGGAGCTGAATAAAACATAACCATCCTGGATGCTTTGAGAAGGATACCTGCTAGAAGTTAGGTAGGCATTGTTTATGCATAGCTAGCCATCTATAGCACCATTAGGTGTAGTAATGCAGTATAGATGTTGTAATTCGAGTGTCGATTTTTGGCTCGGCTCTGCGAGGAGAACAAGAGACTGTTTGGCCTGCGGTCAGCGAGCGCCTGGCAGGATGGATATAAAGCTGATTGCGCAGGTCGCGTGCTCTATTCTAGCACTTCTCGCTACACACGGGACCTGCCAAGGTGAGCCAATGCAGTCGGTATTGGGTATACCAGGGATCTGCCAACTAGCCATTGTGTGCAGCTCCATCGCTGCACTGCAAACTTCATTGATCGCGTTACGTCCTATAAAGCATGCTGCGTGCATTGAGCTCTATAGTCAACTCAGTTGCGCAAGGTAGTTGGAGTAGAGCCTGACGTAAATTACATCTATTCGCTAACTAGCATCTGTGTTCCTGCATTTTTACAACAGACGTCCCTGCAGGAGACTGTCAGTTTCGGTTGCACCAGCAACCAGAGACCGATCTGAGCTGCAACCCTCACCAGGGGGCGACCACTCTCCACCTCACCTGCTTTGCCGGTGGTCCTCTCCGGTCCAGACTTCACATCTCCTGGTGGTCCAGCAAGCTCCCGACACAACGCTCCACCTCACAGCCTCCCCCACTGAGGCTCAGCGGTCCAGTGGCAGAGACGAGAGCAAACAACTCTCAGAGCACTCTCGTGTCCTCAACACTCAGTTTCAGAGTCCAGGAGGATAGCAGCGGAGAGGGTGTGTGCATCTGGTGTGAAATTGAGGCTCCAGGAAGGACGCTAATATCCCCGGCCAGCAGCCGACTCTGTGTCAGTGATCAGCAGGGTGCTTACACAGGTCTGCGGGCCTGCGAGTCCCAGGAAGTAGTGCTGCATTCGTTCAACAGAGTTTGCATTGAGGAGCGGAGTGCCGTGGTCCCTCAACCGACCGTGTATAACACAGTACTCCTTAGCACACACAGCGTACGGGATAGCAGAGGGTTGCAACACGGAACTACTATGCCAATTGGTTCAATGTTCATCCACGTCCTTGACCCAGAATCAGTATATCCTCCAAAGACCCCAGCTGCCATCCCTAATATCTACCCACTGACAGATATGCCCACTGCCAACATAGACTTCGGTGGTGGTGAGAGGAGCGGCATGACTCCACCCGTGACGCAGGGACCGTTTTCCACTGCGGGGCATTCTTCAGAACTGTTCCCAACCCCCACTATAATAGGGGTTCTGGATAAGGAGCGTGAGCAGCAGCACCCCGGTTCTCTGCTCAGCGGAGAGAGTCTAACGGCGCTCTACACGGCTGTGGTGGTGTGCGTGTTACTGGCGGCCGTGGTGGTCGTCCTGATCACCATCGTCCTCGTCATGTGTCGGCGACATCGTCAGCTACAGAGGAGGAGGAGCAGCTCGGCTGCAAAGTCTGGTTCTCGCTCACGACTTGGTTCAAACAGAGCTGGCCACTACAGATCCCAACTCTCATTTTCAGGTTCGTGCTCTGTCTCTCTCTAGAACAGTGGCCTAGAGTTAGTTATGGGACTGTTGATGTGATGTATGAGCATCGCTTGCATGCAGAGTAGGTGAATGCTTTGCACCATAAGGTGGCTTCCAATCAGTAAAAGCAGTGTGATCCAAACGTAATTCTTCATTTACCTAGAGGATATTGGATATTGGTGTGCTTATTGCAAGATTGGTCCTTTCGGCTGCAAATATGGAGCCATGATTGATGCTATTATGACAGTAGTGCAGCCTGATTGGCACCATGTCCAGCTGTCACTTCGTGTCCCACTTCCTTATACTGCACCCAGACACTTTGTTTAGAACAGTGATGGTTGGGCTAAGGGTGAATCACATTACGAGTGTTCCCTTTTGATCCTTTATAATAATATATAGCAGAACTACAGTTGGCCAAAGCACCTATCCCCATTGCATTCACTAGTTGGTTCAATTGACTGGTCTATAATAAATTATTATGTTCTCTCAAGGGTCAGAGACGGTGGAAATGAAGAGGGAGCTAGGAGGAGGAGGTGGAGGAAGAGGAGGTGAAGGAGTGCCCATTATCGGAGCCCAGGACACCAGGTGAACCTAAACAGCAGTAACTCAATTGCGGACTGGTGTCTCTGGTTTGCAGTTGGCTTGGGCCTCTGTTGTGGCTTATACCTCGTGGCACCCGCATTTCTCAGTGTGTGTATATACAGCCACTTCCAGCAATGAGATAATAATATTTGGGCTTGATCTAGCTGCCAGTGCAAACTTGTTTAGGGTCTGGGCTTGCATGTATCTTACTGGAATATCGAGTTGAGTCGCACACTGCCCTGCACAAAGTCACGCTCTGCCATTGGCTCCATACAAGCTCATTGCGATACTGCCTGCACAGAGTTCTGATGGGGAGTCTTGGTTACTTGCTAATCGAATCAGTGAGCGTGAAAGCTGGTTATAGTGACCGAGGAATTGGCAGGCTCCAGCGACTCTCACGATTTAGTCTCACTCCCTTTTGTCCTGTAGCTATGATTACCAACTGGCTAATCGGATAACTTACTAACCATAATGCTTTTTAGTAGCATTTCCGCCCATTTGTTTGCACTATTCATATCTCTATCAATGGATTAAGAAGTCGCAGCGAGCCTACCTAGTCTTCTGAATGTGGGACTTTTGTTTATTGGTGTGTTGTGACCCGCACTGTCACTGCACATACCTATGTCATTCTAAATGCGACATGTGATTATAAATGTGCACCTAAAATTGAACTGCTCGCGCTCTCTCACCAAGAATGTGTTCTGGTAATTATTCTCCCTCTCTCTCTCCCTGTATATATAAGGTATGGCTCTGAGCAAGAGGCACGGAAGGGCAGTCTTGACACGAGAAGTTCCATCGGGAGTCGCTCGGCGTCGACTGAGAAGAGCAACTCGCTCCCACGGAAAAACTCCCTCCAGCACAAGTATGCCGAGATAGACACTGTCGAAATGTCACAGTCTGCCCCCCACCACAATGGCGGGAGTGGATTCCTGCATCAGCAGCACATCAGCAGCAGAAACGGAGGCATATCTTCCAAAGTGATCCCTCCCCCACCAAACACGAGAGCCCGGAGCAGTTCAACTCCGCACTTTTACTACATCCTGGAGAAGATGGACCGTACGGAGGAGAAGGGAGATAAGAAAGAGAGCAGGATAAAGTGTCCGTGGGAGGTCGGGGCTCCGAGTCAGATAAAGCCCAGATCGAGGGAGGGGAGCGGAAAGAACCGAGCAGGGAGCCTCAAACGTGAGGTTGGTGGAGCCACGAGAACAGAGCCATCGGTCGGAAACAAGTCGAGCGATTTTTGTTGGGGTGACGGTACCATGAGGTCGAGGTCAGGGAGCTGTCCGAGCAGGGAGAAGAAGGGAGGGAGCACAAAGAGAGTCGTGGTCTCGCGAGAGGGCTCCTCGAAGAGCACAAAGTCACGCCCTGGCAGTGGAAAGAGAGCGATGTCGGTGGAGAGGAACGGAAAGGTGGTGACTGCCGGGTCGAGAGAGGGGAGCGTCAAGAGCAGAGGGTCGCGAGACGGGAGTTGCAAGAAGGAGGTTTGGGTACCGGCGCTCGATCCCCTCCAGAGCAGCAACGACAAGACCAGCGATAAACGAGTCCCACCTCCCTACGATGCCCTCCTCGAGCCAAAGTTCGGTTCCTACCCCTCACCCTACAGCATCATCAATGAGAGTTATTTTGCCGGTTGCGACGATGCCCAGAGTGTGCTGTTTGACGATCCAAAATACGCGGCGGTGAGCGTGGGTGACCTTCCTCAATTGGTGAACCAGCATTGCCACCAGTCACTGGACCCCATTATACCACGTGGGAACCACAGGCACCAGGTGGCCCAGTCTGGTGGTAGGGTCCAGCAGGCAGGGGGAGGAGGGGGTGTGGGGAGGGTCAAGGCAGCCAGCTCAAAGAGCCTGCAAGACTCGGGTGTCCTCACAGGAGGAGAAGGAGGAGGAGGAGGAGGAGGGGGAGGAGGGGTGAGGGAGTTCATCTATGAGACACGTGAATCAACCCCAGTGAGGGGGATTGGAATGAGCGTTGGAGGACACACCCCATCACGATTGAGCATGCCATTTGATTCATACTATTCATGATTCATGATCTCCCCTTCCCTATTGTACTGTCCATTATTGTCATTGGCTCATACTACATTGTTGATCAGGCTGTGCAGTCGAAATTATAGGATGTCCCCGCCCCCATCCTACAGCAATAAAGGGTGTGGCTTTTATGATTACACAGGTGTGCTATGGCGCTAGTTCCTCATTCCTAGCTACTAAAACAGGCCACACATCCGTACACTCTATACTGGCTTACTCTACGGCGGGAGCTTCTCTCCGCCCGCTTCTGTCCGGATTATTAGCAGTTGGAGAAGAGACAGCCGTGTGGCGACGGGTGAAGATGGAACGAGCAGTTTTCCTTGCTTCGTGTCTTGCAACCTTTGTTTTTACTACCGACGCAGCCGATGAGGGAGGTAAATCAGTTACACAAGCAAAAGCCGCGCTCGTGAACTAACGTAGCTACCGAGCTACCATTACCCGCGTTGGCCGTAGCGAGTCCCAGTGTCTCTACAGCTGTTTCAGACTCTAGTCGAGTGTTTGCTCGTTCACCTGGCACTGCATGTTCCATTATTCCTTCTATGGGAACCCATCAAGATACAAATGGTCCCCTTATAAGCTCGTGGCGCATGTCATGCAGCTTGTTGGACCATGCTCACCCTGCCTACTGCCATATCCTATAATAGTGGTTCTAAGAAAACGCCATAACAATGCGTGTGTGGCCACTGTAATGAGGAATGTCAGGAAGAAGTGTCTTCATACTAGTCTCTCTGTTCTCTTCTGGGTGGAGCGTCTGAAACAGTTCTTCTTCCTGTCTGCCCTCTTTCCCCTCTTATCTCTCTTCCCCCACTGTGCATTCTGAATTACGCTATGTATACTGCTTCCACTGGCTACTATTCCAGCCACACTTGGGACCTGAAATAGTGGCTGGATTAGTGAGGTGGCTTGATCTCAGGGTAAGGTTGTTATGAGAAACATGCACAGGTTGATCAATCCGTTCCAAACCCATTGGCTGCTTCAGCGAGGTGGCTACATTTCAGAGGCTTGGATTAGTGTGGTTCCACTGTATACCTCTCCCTTACATACACACATGCATATACTGCTTCCAGTGACTACCTCCTGTTCTCACTCTCTCTGCTACAGATGGCAGTAGCAGTGGAGAGGAACAGAGTGGGGGCGACTCGGGAGACTCTAACAACCAACTCACTCCCCTCCTCATCTCAGTCATTGCGCTCATCGCTGTCTTTGCTATTGTCATCATCGTTCTCACCGTGGCCATAGTCGTCATGTGCAGAAGACAGTCCAATAGGAGGGTGTACGTCCGCTCAAAAGGTATGTATGTATGTATGTATGTATTTATATTTTAGGCTTGCTGGTATATATATATATATATACCTAGGCTCTTTTGTGGTGGAGGGGGTTGGATACAAGGCTAATGGAAACCCAATGCAATGTCAAAACAAGGGGCCAGTTGACTAGTAGACACTATGGGTAGCAAGGAGGGTATCAGCTGCAGCTCTGCTGTAGCTAGCTGGGTCCATGTGTATGCTGCTGTAGCTAGCTGGGTCCATGTGTAGCTAGCTGGGTCCATGTGTATGCTACTGTAGCTAGCTGGGTCCATGTGTATGCTGCTGTAGCTAGCTGGATCTGTGTTTATGTAAATACTCAACTGTAAATATTTAACCCCTAGACAGTGAGACGACACTGTTTTAAAGTTGGAACCTCGGCTTTTAAGTCGCTCAGACACGACGACGAGATAGCTGCGATTTCACCCCTAGCCTTGATAAAGCTTCTTTCTAGGTTAGAACTGGACCCACAGAACTGTTGAAAACCTAATAATCAGATGCTGAAAGAGTGATGGAAAATAGGTTAGAATATTGCTCTTGCTTTCCTGTTATGGTAGGTGCAAATTGACCACCTGCAGCCCATAAGGAGTGTGTGTGAGTGGCCAGTTAGTAGACAAGTTGTACTGTGTGAATGCAGGAGTGAGAGGACAATCAGACATCAGTGAGAGCCCTGTCTGCTCTGAGGGTGTGAGCATGTGACCACTCACTTGTGGTTAGCCTCATCCCAGCCTCCCAGGCCGGCTCCTTCCTCCTCCTCACAAATTATGTATGCGTGACCTTTGAACCATGGACAAAGTTAAGGAGAGAGAAGGCCTGGAAGATTTTCATCACATGATACGTGGCACAGAAGACATCACGCCCATAAGCAATACACACAATTTATATTACACGTGGTGCATAATGACGTTTGTGTGCCACGTATCACATGATGAAAATCTTCCAGGCCTTCTCCCGGCCTCCTTAATTGCACATGGTTCAAAGGTCACGCGATATAATTTGCGAGGAGGATCGGGAGAAGGCTGGGTTTTCAAGGGAGCAACATTGAAGCGTGTATATATACGTGGGCTGTTTTTCTACAGCTGCAACAAGCAATCTGCAGAAGTTATGCATTCCTCTCAACTGAGCTGTTAATTGTCTCTCAAAAGTTTCCCGATTATTTCCTTCCTCTGAAGGAGTTTCGGTACACTTAGAGACTGTGTGTGACTCACCAGTTAGCTATGCACTGTGGTTTCAACCTACACCCCCCAACCCCCAACCCTACACTGTAATACATTCAGAGAACCATACATACGTACATACATGTCCAGTGGGCGGAGACAGTTATATACTCCTGGGAACATGTTTAGCAAAGGCGGTCTAGAAGCCGTGGGTGGAGGGAGTGAAGGTGTTTCTGTTCCGTAACTGATAGCTACTAAACATTGCTTTCTCTGTCCCTTTTCCGTGTTCTAATGTTGACTAACATTACCGACATCGTGTGTGCTACAGCTCCAGCCCCCCCCCCCCCCCCCATGGAAATACAGGGCAGCAGAGATACGTAACACTCTATAGCAAGAAACGTTTTACGAATTTTAGAGCCTTCTGCGAAGATTTTGTCCCAACTGGTGCTGCTAATATCCCATAGAGTGTTTCCCTGTTGTATTTGAACCCATGACAGAGTGCTCTCTACCCATGAGCTCTATAGCAGGTTAAACAGACAGGGCTCAAAGTGTCGTCTACGGTACAATACATTACAACACAGCACGACAGAAGGCAAAGGCACAACCTCCAAATACTCTGTGCTTTAGGGTAATCAGTGTTGCCTCTCGGTTTGCCAGAAGCTAATCCACGGCCGGTAGATACACGCATGCATGCAGCAGGAGATTGTACAGTCAGTTTGCGTGGGATAAGCTGTGAGTGCGCGACGCTGTGTAATCTGTTAATAGACTCGTCTCAAGCTTGAAAGCATTCCTCTGCCCCTCTGAGTTCAATGCCGTCTGTCTCTGGAGATTACCACCGAAAAATGGCTCCGGTTTCATGTGGCCGTGCATACATCTATTGCCATGCAACTCTGATGCCGGAATGAATGCAGTGTGCCATTTTTGGCAATGGAAGAGTATGGAGCATGGTGATAGGCGAGCGAATCGATCCTTCCTAGTCGTCTGAATTAGACCACCCCTACCGTAGTGTACTTAATATGTACATGCGCACATGTGTAACTGAGATTTCAGTTTTTGCTGCATGTGCCTGCAACTCCCGCTCTCGTTTGCCAAAAATGCATTGCATTTGTTCAAGCGTGCATATTTGCTAATTGTAGTATTATCCACTGTCTATAGAATGAAGGTGTTAGGACCGCTTTAGTTTCATTTGTGTGGAGAGAATGTGTTTAGTTCATGTACTTAACCCGATGTCAACCTGTTTGGTATTGTGCTTTTCCTAATTTCACTCTTCTGGTTTACGTGGCCTGGTGGTTAGCAGAAAGGAAAAGAGATGGTGCATGATTTTGTGGCTAAAGTAGAAAACTCCCTTTTCGATATGCTGAATGTAAGCCTAATTTACTGTACTCTAAGTTTGCTTCATTGACTGTACGTAAGGTGGAGCGTGAGTGTTGCAGTGCCAACACAGGACAGCATGAGTCCTGTAAGGGTGAATGCTGTCCTGTCTGGTACTGCAACAGATATCCCTAGGCAACCGACATGTATGAACCCAGATAATTATATGAACCCTGTTGGATATCCCTAGGCAAACGACATGTATGAACCCTGCTTGCACATGTAGGATTGTATAGGTTGATAAATCCCCCAATACCTAGGTTCATACATGTTGGTTGGCTAGAGATATCCAACAAACATGCATACGTACATATTCTTTAGATTAGACACAATTAAAGATGGCGGTGAAGTTGAAGCTAATGCACATTGTTGTGTTGGGTGGGACGTTATGACCGTGTGCTGCTCATTACACATCCCTGAAAGGAACACCAAGACAATTCTCCAGTCTATTTTCTGGTCCAGCAGTGTAAGGTGGTGTATTTACACTGTTACAGATGGACACATCCTTGGTTTGGGTGGGGCATGTGCTGCAATGCAACCCTGAATTAGAAAAAAAACTAATTCTTCATTCTGTTTTTCTGGTCCAGCACAATCTGGTCATGCAACTGAGAGGAGGGAGCCACTTAGATTAGAGTTTCCAACAAATTACTCACCGTCGCATTCTTGTAAAGAGAGCTGTGTATCATATTTCGACACGTGGAGTAATATACACATGAACTGAGGGCAAAAAGAACACATACTCTACATGCATGCGAAGAGAGAAAGATTGCGTTGTGTGTGTGTGGTCACTTTCTGCCCTCAATTCCTTGCCGTCTGTCCCAGCCAAGCGGAAGACAGTGTGTGCTTACATGGGCACGGGTCTCCATGAAACCAGGCCATAAACTTTTGGAAGTCAACATTTGCCTGATGATAAACGTAGTTTGACTGACAATGAAAATAAATTTCAGGAATTAGAATATTTATTCTTGTGTAGAACACCATAGCTTATGTTTGGCTGTAATTGGTGAGCAAAGAAAAGCCTACCTAGTCGTTTCAAGTCCGGCGCTATCACTACAGTAATGTTCTACGTGATTCAAAAATACGGGCAAAACACAAGCAAGATATTGAACTGCTTGCACTCACTGGTATATAGTAACTAAGAATGAGGACTGTGGTGTAAGGGGAACAATATGTGAGACCCCAGAATCACAATTGGTACCTTAGATAATGGGTGCATCATTCCAAGCCTTGTTCCTGGCTTCCTGTGTGTCTAGCTGTCCTGGTGTATTCTATAGTAATTTAGAGGTGGAGACAGCTGGGGTGAGCCAAACTTGAACAAGTCTTGCAGATTGTGAGTTTTAATTTAAGGGGGGTGCAAGGGGCAGGAGATCATGCACCTCCCTCCTATGTAGGAAAAACCCTGTAGTAAGAGAACTATCATTGAGCAGATCAATACTTAGTGCATACTTAGAATCACTACAGCATTACAGCATTACAGTATGTGCAGCTGCAATGTGGGTCACAACCTGTATATATCCCTGATTTAGACAACTAGTTGGACTCGCTTTACTCGCTAAATATTCCCTACTGTCGCCCTGTGTGACTGTAGCTGTGTGGTTCCCTCGCTACATATACCCCCGGCTGTGTGGTTCCCTCGCTACATATACCCCCAACTGTGTGGTTCCCTCGCTACATATACCCCCGGCTGTGTGGTTCCCTCGCTACATATACCCCCGGCTGTGTGGTTCCCCGCTACATATACCCCCGGCTGTGTGGTTCCCTCGCTACATATACCCCCGGCTGTGTGGTTCCCTCGCTACATATACCCCCGGCTGTGTGGTTCCCTCGCTACATATACCCCCGGCTGTGTGGTTCCCTCGCTACATATACCCCCGGCTGTGTGGTTCCCTCGCTACATATACCCCCAGCTGTGTGGTTCCCTCGCTACATATACCCCCGGCTGTGTGGTTCCCTCGCTACATATACCCCCGGCTGTGTGGTTCCCTCGCTACATATACCCCCGGCTGTGTGGTTCCCTCGCTACATATACCCCCAGCTGTGTGGTTCCCTCGCTACATATACCCCCAGCTGTGTGGTTCCCTCGCTACATATACCCCCGGCTGTAGCCCGTGTAGCTCTAGTTAAGTGCTCCCCTGGAATGGGCAATGAATGGTAAACTAGTAAATATTGTCCCTCGGTGTGGGGGATTCTGTTGAGAAGAATGCTACTGTCTGGTCTTTGAGGCTGCGTTCTGTGTTGTTCTGCGCCAGTACACGCATATATAGCTGTCTACAGCGGAACCTTTGCTGATTAGGTCACCAAAGGGACAAGAGAGAGTCTTCTTGTTAGTGAGGTGTCCTGCTAAATCTGCATGGAAGAGCGTATTCAGGGTGGGGAAAGGTGTCCTTTTGATTTCAGGGGTGTCCTGTTTTACGGGGTTCTGTGTAGTTGGAGTAGAGAGGGGGGAGATGGAAAGAGAGAGGGAGAGACTGGAGAAAGTGGGGGGAATGGGGGAAAGAAACACAGATGTGAGGTGGGTGGGAGAGCCATAGGTTGATCGACGTGGTGACTGGTCACCAAGTACCAGTGGGTGTCTTGTTTCCTAAATAGTGTACTGCAAAGTTTTCTGGACTTCAATATGTGGTATAGAAAATAAGAATTTTGTGTATGCAGGTACTATAGGCTATCTACGCACACAAGGTTTCATGTTCTGGACTACCATAATATGCTCAATGTGTGGTGTAGATAATAAGAATTTTGTGTTTGTAGCTTGCCACGCAATAAGTACTGAATCTATGCTCAATAGGATTTTGTGTGTTTAGGTGCTAAAGGCTAGCTACGCGAATAGCAACCGAATAGTGCTACTACAACTTTCCACATTTGCTGAACTACCATACTATGCTCAATAGGTGGTATAGCAAATGAGAATTTTTGTACATAGGTGCTATAGGCTTGCTACTCACACAGTCAATACGGTAGATCAGGTGAATGGCCTGCCAAGCCAGCCCTACAGCACAGCGATGCACTGTTTACATACTCCCACATAATAAATACGCAAGATGCAGCAGCATTACACACTGCTCTAATAGCCATCGCTATAGGTCTGGCACATGCAGTACTGCACTGATTTATAGCTGTGCCAAAGGGGAATTAGGGTCATTACCAGACCATTGTATAATTATACTGACAGAATGCATACAGAGTTATGAGGGGCAGTTATTTGCATACGGACGGTAGTGAGTATAATTATAGTGCGTTCAACGGTCACAGTTGGCGTATTTTATGATTACTTCTGGCTTAATTGTGCATGCTCTTATTGGCAGATAAAGAGCAACGGAAAATTACCCTCATTAACCGGTGGTCAAAGTATGGTGATTGACTCCAACACATAAGTATAGGGCCCAGTAATTGGGAGACTTGGCCAGAGTGTTGGGAATCACTGACATGGTGCTGTAGCCTTCCATCAGTGAAACATCTGGGCAGGGAAGGTCGCATTAGAGGCTTGGAACCACGCCGAGTTGAAGTGGTATTTCTGAAAATACCTGTCCGCTCAAATGCTAGCCGTAACACTGCAATAATGTACTAAAACTTTCTCTCTCCTTCTCTCCCTCCATTATTTCCCTCCTTTCCTTCATCCTTCTCTGTTCACCCCTTCTCTTCCTCCATTTCCTCCTCCTCTCCCTCCTCTCCCTCCTCACCTCCTCTCCTCCTCTCCCGCCTCATCCTCTCTCTCTCTCTCCTCTCCCTCCTCTCCCTCCTCTCTCCCTCCTCTCTCCCTCCTCACCTTCTCTCCCTCCTTCCTCCACCAAATAGAATTCAACACATACAGAGGATTCAGCCAAGAGAGGACACAGTGAGTGATTATTGTTAAACGGAAAGTTTTTTCAGGACTTCCGCAGCTTAAAATGCACAAGACTGTGCAAACTTCAACATCTCTTCTCAATGCATTCATTCGTCGACACTTCAGCACGCATCACACTGCACACACACTCACGGTGCTAGGAGTAACACTAGCATGTAACAATAGACCATGTGATGCCAAGAGAAAAAAGATGCAGAGCTCTGGACAGCTGTTTCGGGCTTGTTAGCCCTCATCAGCAAAGCATACCGCAACTTCTCTCTCTGGCATCACGAGTTTATAAAGGCAGAGTTGAGCGCAGCACTTGTGGTTTCATGTATAACGTTACATGCCAGGAGTTTACCCAAGACAAATCATATTTTCTAGATCTTGTGAAGTCTAACACTGTATCCTAATAATTATATGTGAATGTGGAAGCAGGTGGATATCAATAGGCAGCGATCGTGTATGAAATCTGTACCATACCCTTTGTGCAAAGGAAGTGTATAGATTTCGCTGTCAAACTACTTATGCTCTTGAACAAGCCTCCCAACAAGAGATGCTGGGTGTAAATAGTTGTGCTCTTTGCCTTTGTCTTAGGGTTGGACGTCTAGTGTGCCGAGGGTTTGCACTCCAGTCTTAGTTTGAAGTTGGGCATGGTTGGTGGTTTAGTTATCCTGGTCTGCTCCTACATGCTGAGCCGGAGTCTATCTTGCTATTAGGCCCTGAAATGTATTGCGGATAAGACTGCTTCTACTAATATGTAGCCATGCTTTCCGTGGCACTTGTGTGCAGCCACAAATATTATCACATCTACTCAGATTTCGTGATCTCCCCAACAGAAGCACAACAGGTGCACATTTTGCTCAATCCACACCAGTACATACATACAGTGAGATGCTGGGCCAACAGCTGGGGAGGAAGAAGCCTACTGGTTTTATGTGTGTGTGCGCGTGTGTTGTACATGTGATTCTTTATGGAGCCCCTAGACATTGTGGGTTGCTGTGCATCTGCCACAGGCCCCTGATGCCTGTAGTGATTTTTGCAGGGCATCCATCACATTCGCAGACGCAGGGTTGCTTGTCAGGGCTTCTTACAAGAGGGGGCAACGTGCGTATTCGTTAAAAAAGGGAAGTAAGGGTGAAACCCTGTGTCTATGTGCATTAAAAGGTTCATTTTAACTCCAAGGACAGGTCAGAGTTGATTAGGTGGTGGGGGCAGGGTGAGTGTCAATGAACCCCTGGCTGTGCAGTCTGTCATTCCCTGCGTGTTTCACTCTGTAGTTTGCTGTGTATCTGCTTATGCCCACTGTCTTTCACTCTGTAGTTTGCTGTGTATCTGCTTATGCCCACTGTCTTTCACTCTGTAGTTTGCTGTGTATCTGCTTATGCCCACTGTCTTTTACTCTGTAGGTTGCTGCTGTATATTATAGTCGGTGATTCCCTTAGTGTTTTACTCTGTAGGTTGTTCCATCGGCTACAGTAAGTGATGCACTTATGCACACAATGACCATCAGTTCAGGTTCAGGCAACTAAAGCCCCATGTGTAATGGACTAGGAAACTTGCACCATTGAATAAACTGTGCATTACACGAAATTTGAATAGCTAACTTCACATTGTCAATTCTCACTCACAAACTAGATTTTCAAATTGGGTCAAGAGGATAAACAATTATTCTATGAATATTGGCTTATCGTGATTCACTGGAGGCATATTCATAATGAAAAGCACTACAGTGCAAACCCTCGGCGAACTGCGCTTGCACGGTACCGCTAATTGATGGGCTGGGCTATTTCTTGGTTGTCTCCCGCTAGTAGCTCGCGGAGAGTCTGACACGGGAAGTGAGATGTAGAGTAACAGACAGACAGACAGACAGACACACACACACACACACCACACACACACACGTACACACACAGAACGACTACCGTAACCATAGCTGCGCATGTGCGCCGAGGGTTAATTAATTGCCCAAAGCACACTTAAAGAGTGTGCGGATGCCGCAGGTCATGTGGTAGGCCATGGGCTGCCTAACTTGGTCACGTGACCCCATGAGCATCCTCTTGCTAATTACCGGGTTCGTTATCTTGGCAGGACACCCCCCACGGCATGCTCCTTTGGGGGAGTATGATTGCGAGCCCCTGTCGTTAGGGGCAAGTCCACCCCATGCCGGTAGCATGCCCATTTGGGTCATGACATCACATCATGCATGATGGAGAACGTAATGGAATCCCAGTCCCTCCCCAGGTGCACTGGCGGGGTTGGCGGGATGGGAAATCTGACGTTGCGACCAGAACGCGACCGTTTGTCTGAGATTCGCCTTGAAACTACCCTCGGCGCACTGCGCATGCGCGGTACAGCTAACCGGTTAACACTCGCAGTTTCTCCACGCTAGTAGCTCGCAGAAAGTCTGACACGGGGTAGCTACACTAGTAGGTAGCATGCGGGAGTCGATGCACACCCTTCGTTGTGACTTCCTGAGCCCCCAAGGTACACATTGCGAGCGGATCAGATCGCGGTAAGCCCAGTGCAATTATGGCTTTTTCGCTTGTTTTCACGGCATATCGCAGTCTTTTCAGCTAGAGTTGTTCTGAAGCCGCTGGTATCGCTAATAGGCCGCCTCGTAGCCTGTAGGGCCAGAATAAGCGTCGACACACAGACGGACACTCACAGAGACAAACCAACTGCTGTAACCCTCGCTGCGCATGCACGCAGAGGGTTAACCACAATCGTTAGGTAAGATCTGTATAAGACCTGCGGCTGAGACCTACTAGGTGGCAGTAGGGTGCCCCTTGCAGTGCCTTGCTGTCTAAGGATCTGGTGATGCGCAGAAACTTCAAGATTGTGTCCAAGTCCATAGATGACATGTTCTCACTTGGTCTTGAGAAGAGAAACTGAGGTCTGCTTCTCCTAGCATCACCCTATAGAGAGTTGTTGTGATCCTTTTGCTCCTTCCCAGATGTTCTGGTTAGAACGGATTATTTTTGGCGAGCTAACCAAAACAGTTCAATTGTTCGCACATTATCACATGAATTTTTTTCTTGTCATTATGTGCTATAAATCCATGATATACGTTTACTCTGGTATTTTCTGGTAGGTCCCCGCCTGAGAGTACAGTGATTGATCCTCTCTCTCGTCCCTTCTCCACACGGAGCACCCGCTCCCACTCTCACATCCCCACCTCCCCACTCTCCCCAGCTCCTCATACGGCGGCCGCCACAACCTCCCCTGCTTCTGCCGCTCGCCAGCATCGCTCCTTCTCCACCTCTGCCCTGGACGCACACACCTACAACCACCTCAGGGACCACGAAGGAATGCAGCCACTTCCACCAGACTACCCCAAAAACGAGTACTCGCGTCTCGGCCCACGTTCCGAGACCCCGCCCCTGCGCCCACCCAAACCCGCCCACATGCAACAGAGCGGACCCGCAGATGAACCCCAATCAAATTTCGGCCCTGTCGACCCCCCAGTTTCGGCTACCAACCCCACGCCCCTGACTGGGAGCGAGAGAGGTGCAGTAGCTGCTGTAGGGAGGCACGTGAACGGTGTCAGCTTGCTGGACTCGGCAGAAGGGGACATCGATAGTCGAACTGAAGAAGGAGGAGGAGGAGGAAGGGGGAACGGGGGAAGTGATGAAGTGTTTGTTCGTCGGTCAATATACGACACGATGACCACTGATGGGCTGCGAACTGAGCCAAAGGGAGTCTTGGCCATCCTGGGAGAGTCTCCCTCTATCGACAATTTAGACGCTAGAGACTACGATAAACTGGCTCTAGGTACAGGAGCACAGCCACCGTCCACAGCAGTGACGGTGGCTGCGTCCCCTTCACCCCATTCGGGTAGTCGTAAGCAGCGAAAGTCGAGTGTCAAAATCTTTGACGATCCCACGTACTCCCCACCTTTAGAAAAAACTGGGTCAAGTAGTAACGGGAGCAGGGCTGACGCTGGGTCGTCATCCAAGCGCTCAAGATCAGCCTCCGTGAAGGTGATTGATCCTCGGTACGTCGGGGACTACGAGCGACACCCCAGCTTCGTTCCTCCTCAAATCGAGATCCCGCGAGACCAGCTCCAGGAGAAGTACCGCGGAGACTACGAGAGGGATCCAACCTACTTCTCCCGGAACCCGACTCGTTCCTTCTCGGTGTCTGCCACGTCGGGTACCTCCGTACAATGTCGAGGGAGAGGTGATCGTGAACACCGCTCCAGCCTCACTCTTGACCCTCCCGTGGCCGACAAGTACAGAGGAGACTACGAGAGGAGCGAGGACTATGTCCCTCCGCCGCAGCGACGGGTCTGGAACGAAGACACCAGAACAGACGACTACGTACTGGAACCGGACCCAAGCTACACGGGGGCGTACGAGCGTCACCCCAATTACGTCCCCCCTCTGATCAAGAGGTCGTCAAAGACAAAGATTCAGATACTCAGCACTGACACGGTGTCATCAAACGGTGTCAATTCTGATAGACCCAATCATGTCCCGCACGAGTACACGTCTCTAGCAGCCGTAACAAAGGACCCTGCTCGGCAGTATGCCACTCTGAATTCTGACCGCTCCACAATCTGTACTCTACCTACTGGCTCTCTCAAGGATTCTATGGTCTAACAATGTAATGATTCAGTTTGTAGCCTTTTGTGTGAGTTTTATATAGCTTGTGTCAGTTTTATTCACTCTTTATCAACAATACAGAAGCAGTGATTAATATTCTATATAGCACCTGCATTAATGATCACTTCACTCATGCTCTGAGGTAGCACAATGATGTTCAAATATTGCTATGACAAACTATTCGTCATTGCTCCGGCATGTGTATTTTTAACCCTTATGATCATTGCTCCACCCATTTTTCTGGTGACACACACACAAGGGCTCTATAATATCCCCATTGCACTGCTTTTTAATCCTAGCCATTGCGTTTATTACACTGTGTTCGGTTCTTTACTTCATAATACAAATCATAGATAATTGAATACGAGAAGGGGGCGGGGCTAGGGGTTAGACCAGACATTGGAAAGACAATGGAATATGAGAAGGGGGCGGGGCTAGGGGTTAGACTAGACATTGAAAAGACAATGGAATACGAAAAACACTTTCATGAGGTAAACTGTGTACTGGCGAGCAATATACTCTTAAGGCCCACAATGAAATGCTAGCTAATATTGTGCCAAACTGCGACAACATCACTCAAGAGCTCCTCTTGGATGCCCCATCATTTAACGTTACATTCCACATCATCACTAATGTCACACGTCAGTAGCTCATACTACTAACATGTGACTGAACAGTGAACACCCCAGATACCCTCACTCAACTTGATTACCCACTCCTGTATTCCACCCACAGTTGATCTCCTGTGTCACTGACATGTTACCACTACATACATACCTCACTCAAGTGATCACTCACAGTCAATCCACCCTTATATCATCTCTTGTGGCAAAATCCTCCCCTCCCCCTCCCTCTCACCCTTAACTCACTCCCCACGCTTCCCTTATACTAGTATTTTTCACAATCAATATTATAATATTTGACACTACTTAGCAACATCATTAAAATATACCAGTACACACGAAACTCGCCGACGCGGAGGGTACAGCACTACAGTGCATTCATTACTGAAGAAGGACGTTGGGGCCGAAATCGCCCTTTGTGCTATGATTGTTTATCCTCAACATGTTATTGGTAGAAAGTATTGTGGCATTGCAGTGTGCCAGTAAGCAGAGCCACGCCGGCAAGATAGGGTGACTATGACTACATTGCGTGAGGGAGAGACAACAAGCATTGCGTGAGATTAACCAAACTCTCGGCTTCCGCTCTGCAGTCAAAAACTGTAAACACAGTACTATAGATACAAGACCTTATGGCACACTCTAGCTGAGCACCTTGGGGAGAAGTCGAGGGTATAAAACACCTGTGGTTGAGCTGTCTTCTGCAAGAACTATTGCCAAAGAGAATCACCGAAGTATCACTGGGAGAAAAAGAATGTTTGTGGCACTGAAAAACCTTCTGCCACTTGGTATACTGGCAGCAATCATATGTGTCAGTGACTGTACAGGCCATGATGAAGGTTAGTGAGAAGATGTATGCACATACTCATAGAAACTAAATCTCATAGGCTCAGGTTCTTGTCCGCAGTTTGAGCTACTGAGGGGAAGGGATGGGAGAGATGGGAGAGATGGAGCAAAGGGAGAAAAAGGAGAGGTCGGGGGTATCGGTCTCCATGGACCCCAGGGAGAGATAGGGGGCCCTGGTATTCAGGGGCCAGTCGGAATATCTGGTCCCCGGGGGGCAGTGGGGGAGAGAGGTGAGAGGGGAGAGAGGGGGGAGAAGGGAATGAGGGGAGACCCTGGGCTAAGAGGTCGCCAGGGGGAGCAGGGAGCCCAAGGTCTGCCAGTTGGAGGAGCTGTCTACACTCGCTGGGGAAGAACCACATGTCCAACCGGCCAGGGAACACAGCTGGTTTACTCTGGAAGAGCTGGGGGGACAAGATATGATCAAAAAGGAGGGGCAGCCAACTATCTCTGCATGCCAGATGATCCTGACTATCTCCAGTACATCATTGGAGTTACCAGCCATAATTTCGTGGCCCCTGTTGAGTACTTGTTCGCTACAATGCCATCTCTGTCTCAGTTCACCAGCCACAATGTCCCCTGTGCAGTGTGCTATGTAGCCACCAGAGGCACTGTACTGATGGTTCCTGCCAAGACCCAGTGTCATGCAGGCTGGACCAGAGAGTACTATGGTTACCTTATGTCAGCCTATCATAACCATGATGGTCGTACAATGTATGAGTGTATTGACATAGACCCTGAGTCAGTTCCTGGACTGAATACTGGCAGTGACCCAAGGTCTCTCTTTTACGTCAACGAGATATACTGCAATGGATTCTCCTGCCCTCCTTATGATGCAGAGAAAGAACTGACGTGTGCTGTTTGCACTCGTTGAAGCAACATTTCAAGACAATGTAGCCTAAAAGAGACACAAACGTATGTAGAATACTAAGACTGTAGTTATGAGGTTACATATGTATGCCTTTTACTTTGATTGATATTTGTAGAAAAGAAACCACTCAATGAAGTCATTGGTGGTGTTTGATGAAGCAATACTGGCAAAGATCTCACATTATTGTTGCAAAGTTTGGCTTGTATTACTTTGAAAAATCGCCATCTGTGCATATTATAGCTCGCACCACAGAGCGCCTCGTGTGTGATTTCTGGATGAAGGTAAACTGAGCGAACGTATTCACAAACTGAGGGTAAAGAGAATCTAGCTGGCTGTATAACTAGCTATGGTGGAACTAGAAAATGATCTCCAACCGAATAAGTAAAGTATTATCATCTGCGATTATCTTCATAGTCTGTTGTGCAGTTACTGAAGAAAGTGTTTGGGCCTAAATGTCCTACTTTGCTATGTTTATCCTCAACAAGATATTGGTAGAAAGTATTGCGGCATTGCAGTGTGTGCCAGTAAACAGAGCCACGCCGGCAAGATAGGGTGACTATGACTACATTGCGTGAGGGAGAGACAACAAGCATTGCGTGAGATTAACCAAACTCTCGGCTTCCGCTCTGCAGTCAAAAACTGTAAACACAGTACTAGAGATACAAGACCTCATGGCACACTCCTAGCTGAGCATCTTGGGGGAGAAGTCGAGGGTATAAACACCTGTGGTTGAGCTGTCTTCTGCAAGAACTATAGCCAAGGAGAATCACCGAAGTATCACTGGGAGAAAAAGAATGTTTGTGGCACTGAAAAACCTTCTGCCACTTGGTATACTTATAGCAATCATATTATGTGTCAGTGACTGTACAGGCCATGATGAAGGTTAGTGAGAAGATGAATGAGGAATTATTAGTAATACTATACCTCCACAAATGATTGACGCGTATGTGGAATGTACATAATATGAATGCCTTGGTGTTAAACTAAAGCCAATGCAGCCAAAGAGAATGAAAGTGCAAACCCTCGGCGAACTGCGCATGCGCGGTACCACTAATTTATGGGCTGGGCTTTTCTCCTTACACACCCCGCGGAGAGTCTGGCACGGGCTAGTAGATTGCATGCGGGAGTTGATACACGCCCTTCGTTGTGACTTCGTATGCCTTCAAGATACACAGAGCGAGCGGACGCGGTCGAGGTAAGCCTGTGCTAATTTGCATATTGGCTTGTTCACTTGGTTTTCACGCCATAACTTTAGAACACAATAATTTTACGAAAATCGCCTTTTTTTAAATTAAGCCAGTGTAGCACTGAACCCGTTACTATCGCTCTTTGGCCGATTTCTTGCGCGTGGTGGCAGAAAACGTGGTAACAGACAGATGGAAGGACAGACACGCAAGTAACCCTCTAGCGCATGCGCGCCGAGGGTTAAAATTAATAATGGTCACTCAACCCAATGATCAGTGTGATTTATGCAGATAATGACGACTCCACCCATTGTTCAGGGTGATTTTTATAATACGTTGATCTAGGTGATCATACATACACATAATAATAATAATCACCACTCCACCCATTTGTTCTGGGTGATTCTATCCTTTTTCCCAGGCCTTCTGCAGTGAGAGAAGTCCTGGGTACACGCTGTTCACGTATGCGCAGTATCCAGGACTGTGGAAGGCCAACGAGGCTAGAGTGATTCGTCATGCAACTGTATAATTAATTGTGGTTGACACAATGAACACTCCAACCATTGTTCTTGCATGGGGGAACATGCAGATGATCATGTTCCCATGTTCAGACACGTGTGTGCATATGTTATGAAACAAGGCAACCGATCAAATTGCTGCTAGACCAGCTGATTATAGCTGCTTGTCTCAATTTGTTACAGATCAACCATGCATAATGCCAAAGCACGCAAATCAAAGTGCAGCAAGTATAATATATAATTCTCATGAAGAGCAGCAGATGCAGGTACATAATATAAAGTATTCTCTGTGCATCAATACAACAGATGTACATACAACTAAACTTCTACATCTATAAATCTTCAATGTTGCCGTTTATTATACACAACATCACAGCCATAGCCTGCCTTGGTCCAGGACTGGCAGGAGCAACTGCTGGTCAACTCCAAGAGTAACCACCTCCCCATAGCTCTGAGTTTGAGCTATAAGATCTCTTACAAGACGGCGACCATCTACACTACGGTCATCCACTGCCAACCAGCGATAGTCATCGGTGGCAGTAGAAACGTTATTTTCGTGAGCAGTTTGACCTAGCATGTCCGGCGGTAAAACAACTCGGAGTATAATACTCACTGCCCAGTCGTGAAGCCCCCCAAAGTATTGGTAGACGGTGGACAATAGAGTTTCTGATCTGTTGTCTGCAAGTATGATGCCAGAATAAGTAGTGTGGTGAAGTCCAAGTGTACAGTGTGGTGGCTTGAAGGGGTGTTTGGTCGCTTTAGTTTCTCTACGTAGTTCCAGGTCCTCCCAGGAAGTGTGCAAGTCCACACGACGGAGGTTGGGATATGGAAATGCCACTTTCTCGTCAGCAGTTATAGCTTCAGAACCCTGCCTACAATGTGGCCTACTGTTGTTATATCCACCGGTATGGTCACTGCCTTGAGCCCTGCTACGCAAAGACCCCGTTTGTTCTCCACAGTACACCCTGTGGTCAAATTCTCTCTCATTGAAGTTCAGTCCTTGGTTGAAACCCATGCCTGGCCAGGTGCTACACCCACAGTGGACACACCGAATAGCACTAGTGTGGAGAGAGGGGGAGAAGAGGGTAGGACGAGCGATTGAGACCGACGAGCTACATGGCATTTGAGGATTTCGGGAGTTTATTAACTTGAGTCGACTGCGTTCCAGATGGGTATTGTGGAGAATACAGGTCAGATCGGGTGGATATTTTCCGTAGGTCTCCAGAGGCAGCTCTGGTGGCGCAACATTCAGAGGGTCTTGCATCATCAGTGAGGCAATATCTGTGGGCATAGTGTGAGATTGTAGGTTAGAATTGTGCTTCTACCCTACTATGTACAGGGGTGGAGCATGATATGGAACTTATGCACCTAGCTCCTCCATGAAAATTGTGCCTTTATGATTCAAACTACAGGTAACGTACTTGTTGTACACCCTTACATGAGCTCCTCACATATGAAACACTCGGGACTAACCAGTGGAGGTGGAGTTGGCAGTCTCGGGGGTAGGGGAAGAGGAGAGGGGGAAGGAGGAGGGGGAGGAGGGAGAGGGAGACCAGGAGGAGTTGAGTGTGTGGGAGGCAGTGAAGAGTGTCGACAGCAGCACAAGGTACACTGCAGCACTTCCACACGTCACCTACACCAACATACAACCTTTGACTATAATACACGACCTACGTATCCCATTGCTGTACTGAGCAACAGATACATGTGTACATTTATGGTTTGATGATAAGGCTAACAGAATAAGGGACAAAGCCATAGTATGTGCGTACATATGGAAACATCAACGAGGCCGCAAGGCAAAGGCAAACAATTCAACTACACCCAGAACAAGTATTATTGATTAAAGAGCTGCCCTGGGTGGGATTCGAACCCATGACACTCTGCAGTCTAGGCGAGTGCTGTTACCCACTGAGGACAGCTCAGCATGCAGGGGCTCAAATCTACAACACAATACAAGGCAAAGGCAATGTACATACGTATGTACTCATTTGGGTGGTGTAAGTGTACCTTGGCGACTTGTTTGGTAGCAGTGAGAAGGGCAGTCTGCGTGTCCATGGTGTCCCATATGGTGACCAGGTCAGTGTAGCTCAGCCAGCCACGACTGGCAAACTGGTTCAGTGCAATCCTAGGATGGGACAAGTCAGTGGTGAAGCACACTATAATGGTAGAATGGCGAGTAAACAAAAAAAACCACCTCGAAATTAGAGGGTTTCAAGCCACCCAAAAAAGAAAATGTTTTCCATTAAAAAATTGGAACTGCGATGCAAGACACAAGAAACTTGAAATGAGAGACCATCATTTTCAGAAGGAATGTAACACACATCTGCCACAGGGTAGTTAGTAGGGTAGGGTAGAGGTGTTAAAGTCAACTTGTTAGTACGTAAGAGCTAAATTTAGAAATGTTACTAAAGATAGAACAAAACAATAGGGCCCAGTGCAAGAATGTAAGTTTCTGTTCCTAAATTAAGTCCTTATAATATGGCCACATTGCCTTTATGACTCATACACTATATAATTATACCACAGCAAAATGGTATCCACTGCAGATGTACGTATACACACCTCCACCATTTGTACAGCAGATGTAAACAAAATATGAGTATTGATGTCAGGCCAATGACTAAAGTATTACACGAGTTAGGGTGGAGAAGGCAAGGAAGGAGGAAAAAGCACACGACATCTATCGCCGGAATGCCGAGCATTGCCCGTGTGAACTCATACATGGACCTAGTTAATTTCTGTCGCGACACACCAGACTGCATCAATCTCTCGGTGTAATTATACATATCAGGAGCCATATAATTATACCTACAACAATGTCAGTATGGCTGAGGCATATTGCTAGGGGCTCAGCTAGAGATCGTCTTACTTGGAAAAATAGAGAAATAGAGATGCTCAGAGAGAGGAGAGCACAATAGTGTACTGAAGCGTGCCCCGGATGTTAGTTAAACTTTTGGAGGGAGAACTCAGAAAACCAAAAAGAGTCTGTGACCGTCCACCCAGTATAAAAGTCTTTGTAACCCAACCACTTGAGTCTCCCCAGTTTTGGCCGGGCCATTGCAACACATGGGCACTCAAAAACTTTGCACATTGTAAGTGTAGGTCCCTGCCAAGACAAAATTTCACAGACGCCCATCAAAATCCTTAAGATTTCAGAGTATGCAGGGTGTATTTTTAGGCCCACCTTCCTTCAATTCCAGTCACAAAAGAATAGTACTCTTCCAGTGAAACATACAGTCTCCAGTCCTGCATAATAGGAGAGGAGGAGGGAGAGAGGGAGAGAGGGGGAAGGAGAGAGGGGGAGGGAGGGAGGGAGGGAGGGAGGGAGGGGGAAGGAGAGAGGGGGGGGAGGGAGGGAGGGAGGGGGAAAGAGAGAAGAAACGAGAGAAGGTACGTAAGAGAAGCAAGATCAATTGAGTATTTGAGGATGTAAGCGCTGGGGATTTACTCCTAGTACAAGTGCATGCAAGCCATAGACATACTGGCCACAATATTTCCAGTGAAGACAGGTATCTGCATTAGATGTATTCATGAAATGGTGACGTGGTAGGGGTGCAGACATTAAATGTATTAGCGATAACTAATCCAATAAGGAGACATCCGAGCACATTCAGGTGGGCACCAGGACACATGTCTCATTATTGTGCTAGCTGCCTGTTTATTTGCTCAGAATGGCATGAGCACACATGCACGTCACATTCACAGCACACCAAAACATCTGTGCATTACATCACAGTTGGAGTTGGAGATGGCGATGCAGACACAGATCTGAAAACCATATTAGGACCGTGTAAACAACTAGGGAGTGGGGTTGAATGTTGAGAAGTAAAGAGAGACAAGGATATGAAGAAAGGGAGTAAGGGACAAACAGGAAGGGGGGATGAGGGGGGTGCGAAGAAGAGAAAGAAGAAAATGAGAGAGAGTCGAGGAAATGGTAGGGAGAAAGAAAGGATGGAGAATGAGGAGAGTGGTTGGAGCGAGTAACGAAACGTCTGCACTGCACAGAAGGCACACCCTAAAATGCACCCTGGGGCACAGACTTGCGTCATCGGCTCTCCAAACACACACGAGGCCGCACAGTGAGTCGCAGTCAGGGGTATGGTGTATATGAGGAGGCAGGGGAAGAATGCGAGGGGTGACCGTGTGTTGTGACTGAGGACCGGCGCCGTGGAATTCAATCCATGACGCCCGCTTTCTTCCGAGAATCACGATAAGGGAGAGAATGACAGGAATGCTCTCAGTGGAAGAGATTGGCGTATAGCCTGTTGTTAGGCAGTGGATTGAATCACACTCACTCTCCAAGCCACCTGTAAACACACATTCAGAGAGAGAGGCTCCGTTGTAAGTGTGGCTGTTTGATGATAATACTGTGTAGTGGGTTTCCCTGAAGCATATGTGTGTAGGTGACTGGGAGTAAGGAAGAGAATGCAGGCCTCCCTCCTAGTGATGCCAACAGGAGCCAGATAACAACACAAGGGTGCCAGCCAGCCACCTGCATCGCACCCTCCCCCTCTCCCTCCTCCTCCCCACCTCCCATTCTGCCCCAATGGAAGACAGGCATACCGGGAGGCCTCGTGGGTGCCAAGCCTCAGGGGAGATATTTGCCACATTAAAAACTGGCAACCACTTGAAACACTTAGTCCAGGTGGAACCACCACCAACCATGTAGATTAAACAAGCTGTGGCTGACTGGAGGAAAGTATGGGGCACCTGGTAAAAAACAATGCCCCAGGACGTAATCTCCTTCCACTACTAAAATAATTAAAAGGGAAAACGTCTGAAAGTACAAAGGCTGCTGTTTGTGCGGAATGACCTTAAATGCATTGAGCTTGCTTTGTAAGCGTGGGAGCAATGCAGTGGAACTGGATTTGTGAGCCAGATGTGGACAGTGGGGGGTCCTACTACAATGCTGCTTCAAGGGCGGCTACACGTCGTAAAACGATTAACTGCCATATTCGGCTGAAAATAACAGGCTAATGACGCTCTAGTTGCCCTCTGTGTGTGAGCGTAATCAAAATTCCAGACGTCGACTCCACTGTTGTGCAAATAATCGGCAGCAAAGCACCTGTGCACTTTACGTGGGACTCTGAGAGGGCAGGCACCAACAAACTACAGCTGTCGAGCTGACACTGGTAAGGATGCCACACTCCCTTCACTGAGGGTTGGCAGACACGCAAGCAGGCCAGACAGCAACAGTATATGCTACAGCCAAAACGAGACCTTTTTTAAAAGTGTACCTGGATGACCCCAGTTGCATGATTATTGCCAATACAGCCGTAAGTACATACACCGATGAGGTCTTTAATCTGATGACCAAGTAATGGCAGACTCTTGAGAAATCAATGGCACACGTGTCTCTAATGGAGGCCGGTGCCCCACTAATGGACTGATTGAGACCATGTGCGCCACAATGTCACTGGCGCTCCAGTCACCACACAAACACACTAAAGCATTCCGTGGTACTAGGTTTGATTAGGCGCGTACAAAAATAGCATTAAGCAGATTTGGAAGGTCGGAGGTGGACGCCTGATGGCAAGGCCAAATAAACCTGATTCCCATAGAGTTTCTCATCACCGCCCACATGCATGCGTGACCTACCTCCCTTAATGCCACTATTCCCCTGTCTGTAGGGACACACCCCCTTATTATAATATCCATCAATCACATCCACACATGGTGCATCAGCGCATGTACAATGACCACCCGCCAGCATCCAAATAATAAAACTTGCCGATGAGCAGTTTGTTGGGCCTTATTCACGGGCACACAAGCCGTCTGTGGAACTGCTGGGTGTCGCTGGTGAAAGAGGTGAGTTATGGTGTCTGGGAGGTGAGACAGACACCAGTAACTCAGGTAGAACTGGTCCGGTCCATTGCTCTGGCTGTGTGGCCGATGGCCCTAGTAGAGACTCCGAGTATCATCGGAGGGCAAAGCGAGCTTATCTAGTCGTCTTAATTGCACGCTCTTCTTGCTGTACCAGCGTTGCCAACCTTATGTACCATAACGTCCTATGTAATTCTAAATACACCGCAACTGGAATTTTGCTATGGTTGCTGCATGCGCCAGTAACTGTTGTGTTTACTCACAGAAAATGCATTGCATAGTTGCACACATACATACGTTCCCTCTCTCTAATAACACAAACACGCTCTGATTGGAACAGGAAAAACAAGGCGATACGAGATACCGGTAGTGCCACTGTTGCTCTTCGCATTCCACAGACAATAACTGTCGCTCGGTCTCCGGTATTTGTACCACACAACAGCTTAGGTTACATCAGTAATAACACAACTCTGTACTGTAAAATTAGTGTTGTCATCACCGCTGCTCCGAGACCACCAATCTGTATCTTTAGCTAATGTCTGTTGTTGTACTTGTAAACATTGCTCCAGGACGGAAAAAACACACAACAGCAGTGGAACAAGATGCCAGTGATTCCTACTGTGTTTATATTTAATTGGTACCACTCGATGCATGACATGTCCATACCACACTACAACTGTGGTATATGGACACAAACGTATCACAGACGCTCCATATAGCATCCTTGAAAACTCGATGCTTTCCGTCGCAATTATCTTCACATTGTAATTTTGCATTTTGTGTCTATTGCAGGCGAGGTCGTGTCTTTCTTGGTTTATGCCTTGTAGATTTGCCACATTTCTGCTATTAACTGCAGCAGTTTACTGCGGTTTGGTGACATCTACCATTGTTAACAATCCTTCCACTGGATATGAAACACGACACACGCTCAAGCTCAGACAACAGAGTGTGACGAATCCCCGCAAGTAACACCGACACGCGACCCAAAAGTTCATACCCACAACTCTCTGTCTGATCTGCCAACAGATGGGGATGGAGTTACATACAATTCTGCCAGGCACAATAAAATGTGATTACTGTAACCCCACGATGGTGTGAAAGAGCCAACGACATGCGACCTTCCCACAACCACCACTGTTGTCGTTCCCGGCCTCTGTCAGACAACACAAGAGGAAAATGATATATTGAAAAAACCCCGGAGGCACAGAGAGACTATGGTCACATTGTGTCCAAAACTCTCCTCCTTCTTGAAAAAAAAAAAGCTAGCAATCTGAGCAAATGCGAGAGTCACACATGCACGGCACACACAATGGCGAAAGTTCAATTCCGTTTTGTCTCTTTGTTACGTCAAACATTACGTAATGGCATGTATATGTGACGGTGCCGCCGTCGTCGGATATTTAAAAACCGAGCATTTAGACGACTAAGTAGGCCGGCCCACTTTGATCGCCAATAACGATACCAACATACCGACAAATGGCACAGTGCTATCCCTGTTCAGAGTATTTGCTCTGCTTTTCCTAAAGAATGCCCAGCAACTTGTAAGGTATTTGTACACTTTCCGGGAAACATTCCAAACAGCTCTTAATTGCCAATGCAATAATGAATACATTAGCCGTACATTGCTGGAAGCGCTCCAGCTTTGCAACGGAGCATTTTGAGAGAAAACCGTTCAAAATTTCTGACCTTCATTGCCCGTTAAGTAGATCGTGTCCTTTGTGAGACGAACAAACACTCGAGAAGTGAGATGGAGGGAGAGTAACAGACAGACAGACCCAACTACTGTAACCCTCGCTGCGCATGCACGCCGAGGGTTAACTATGCATTCACAAACATTACACACTCTGCAATTTCGATCACAGAATAATGGCGTGGACATTTGTAATGCAGGCAATCTGCGAAAGGTTTCTCGCATTTCATAATGAATTGTGGGTTTTTTTGCTCAAAATTTTTCTGCTATACGGTACTAAATTTGTCGTGTTTCCACAAAATTTGCCCTGACAGTTGTGTGTGAGGTAACTACATATTATGTACAGTCAAATGTCACAGTTACTGGTATATATAACTGAGTTACACACCACAAAATTCTTTAGGCCTGGAAGTTTGCACACGGCACAGTGTGTGCTCAGTAACACATACATATCACGGCATTACATAACCTGCTCAAGCAGTCTTGTAGGCATTTGTAGCGAGCTAACATGGTTACTGAGTGCATTACTGACTACAGGGGCACTAGGGATTAAGCCATATGCACCTCGACTGGTATGCCTAACAAATTGTCCGTATGTTCCACAAGAACCGGCAAAATTGACAGGTAATTTCCACCCATTATCATTCGAATCAATGATCGCCACAGCAGCTATTACATACATACAGTAAGCCCCTCGAGTGGTATGCAGATAATAAGAGGAATGAATTACGTATGAAAACGAGACATTTGCATGGAAGTTGATACACATACCAACACCTACATGTACTGTGTACCTACGTGTACCTAGCAATCTGAGCACTGACTTGATACATACTTTCCCAGGAAGTAAAACACTATTTTTTCAGCTGGTGCTACGTATATATACTTCTGAGAACATCAGAAGAACTGAGTATAACTATGTCTTATCCATAGGTATACAAGCTGAAGCAGCAGTATGTACGCACTATATTGCACTTTCTGCCCTGTTACCTGACTCAGTGGGAGTCATGCATCATAGGGTAGGCAGGCAGGCTTCATACGTAGGAAGTAGGAAGACCTCAAACGTTCCCAACAAAATCATAACCTTCCCCCTCTCCCATCCTTACAAAGGCACTAAGGTGAAAAGCGGGGGTACAGTGCCGCCATGCCATGCAGTCCAACTCAGTTTCTCGCCCGAGCTGTATCAGTAGGATCCGGATACAAGTCTTCCAAGTAACCTCATCCCTGGAGGGTGCACTGACCCGGTTGAGGCAAACCAGTGCATGATATGGGTTTGTTCCTATAGTCATTTCGGGGTTATTATCCCCGTGCCCTTGTACCTCGGACGCTGTTGGTATTGTTATGCCTAACAGCCTTCAGTGCCAGAAGAAACACAAATAGACCGACAAACCCATTAACCAAGTACTGTAACCTTCGCTGTAAATGTGTGCCGAGGGAGAATGCGATAGCGTTGTTTCGACGAAGATTAATGACTGCATTAAGAATCCTGTAGCAGTCAACCTGGAGGCACCAGTACCAATCCCCACTATCCTCAAACTCTAAGGAAACTCCCAAGCTGGCACGCGGTGTCTTTGGCCAGACCCCGGATGTCAGCCACTCAGACACACTTCCTCACGTAGCAGAAACAACGCTCTCAAATTCCATTCCTGCATGGTGGTGGATGTCTGCCGTTCCTGCCAAGGACGGCAATCAGCACCAGTTTGAATGCCTGAAAATCTCTCATTGAGGAGACAGTGAGTAATTACCCGGGGAGTCACACCGCCAAATTGCACATCAGAGTGGTGCAATGCGTGAAGAGCACTAATCTTAACACAAACCCACCACGTGTCTGTTCTGTGTGAAGGTATTTGCGTGTTTCATGAATACCCTCTGGCCTAATGCGGTGGCATCCTTTGTGTTGGACGCAGACAGCGTTGTTTATGTCTTGCCCAGCACCTGATTCCCAGCTCAAGTCCACGTGTGCATATAGTACCGTTTTGGTACTGTTTTAGTACTGCAAGGTACGGTACTGTACTTTAACTTTTTAATGACCGGTACTGTAAGTGGGCTCTTCAGTCTTCCTTCAGGTATGTACACATATGTCGTTTTGGGGGCATTATTCATTATTGAAATAATTAGGGTGACAGGTATGTAAGTGACTCGTTTCGGCATGATATGTATATGCACCCTTAGGCAGGGCAGAAAAGACCATGTGATCTACTATACTCCATGTATGGTAGTGAGAGTGTGGAAACTACGCCCAAAGGAAGGAATCGAGATCGAGACAAGACACATGAACAGATTTTCAGAGGAGGGAGGGACATGTACAATGTACAGACGAAAGGAGGGCGAGAGAAAGAGGTATTGAGGGAGAATGGGGGAACAGAGGAAGAAGAAAGAGAGAGAGAGAGATCTTACGATGGCAGCTAGGAACCGTCGCTCCATGAGGTCCAGTGCAGGTTTACCCTTGCAGCCCACCTCGGCCCACTCCGAGTTGGTGAGTGCCTCACTCTCTCCCTCGTCGTTCAGGTACTTGGACGCCACCACCTGGGACACCAACGTGGACACAATCTCAAACACACGCACACACACACACTGTAGCTGGAGATCTTTTCAGATAATGATAATAGTATTCATGGCCCAGGGTTTCCAGGGTGGCTACACAGAACCCGCAGGCAATTCATCAGTCGTCACGATTATGAAATGTCTACATGTGTTGCATACCAGCACACGTACACAGTACATACACTTTCTGGAATCTTAATCATATTAATAGGTGCACCTGTTTCTTTAGAAAGCTATGCATCCTGCTATTATTACTGGAAGTGAAAGTACAGTACAACGTTAAGTTATGCGACCGTTGGTGAGCTAATGCAAACAGGTCATGAGTTTCAAACACTATATAATTATGTGATGTTCACACATGCATATTGAAAATTGTGACAGAGTCGCCAGGTACGTAAAGCAAGTGACTCCCTTTGCTCACAAATTACACTAAGTACCACCATGCTTGACTAATGCGTGTTGGTTTTCTATCCCAGCAGTCCTGCCAAAAATGTCATAAGGATTACTACCAGACTTAGCAGAAAAGGGATATAGATAACCAGAGGCTATTGTTTTATGAGTCCAGAATACTTGGCCGGAAAATGTGTACCTTTTATTACATTGTTGATGGGTGGGTTTGCCCCCTGCAATCAGAGTTTACTGATTCGTGAATGCTGTGCAATTCTGGCGTGTGGGAGCGAGCCAACTGCCATGCAAGAGGTCATGTAGGCACAGTTAACCCTCGGCACACATACGCAGCGAGGGTTACAGTACTCTGTGTGTGTGTGTCTATCTGTCTGCAGCTATATATTTATGCACTACAGGCTACGAGGTGGCCTATACCAACGGCTTCAGAGCTAAAACTAGTGAAAGCCATTGCCCTCATGCATGAGCTCTAATAGTGATTGTATTTACAAATGAGATTTCACTTGCTTTCGCAAAATTCGCATTAAGTAAAAAAATTGTCACATTAAGGTGTCTCACCACAATGTATCTCCCATGATACAAAATTCCCGAGAGGACAAACACACGTACATAACAGACTTTAGTATAGACTATAAGATGCAGCCTACACTCACTCACACACACACACCTGTGGCACACACCGATGAGTCAGTTGCTCTGGTGATAATAGAACACACACAAGGACGCAAGTTGACTAATGAGTTATTTATTTAATTGAAACCAAGGCATGATGACAGGCATACTTTGAATGTCGACTTGCGGACACAGACACACCTGGATGGAAAACCATGGACTGCCTCTGCCAGCAAAGCCTTCATCCATCCATTGATCTCACACTCGACTGGACCCCTACTCCACAGCTACTTAGAGAGTCGTTCTTGAAATACCACCTCGGGAATTTGAGATTCTCACGCTTAACGTTGTTTCTCGCTTTTTGAAGTCACGGAATTTGAGCGCCATGCAAGTGCTCACACGTCCCAAGTACTGTATGCCTATTGCGACTAAGAGCAAGTACATATTATTGTGGGCAATGAAAGATTGCTTCAAGAGTAAACTAAGTGGCTGAATGTTACGAGGCATTGCCGCATGATAATTACCTAAGACTGCACTAACGACATTACTGACCAATGAATGCATTCATTAGGAAAACTATGCACGATATTTGCCACACACATACATACCCAGGATGGGTTGCATACCCCAAATATGACAATAGCAAAGCCACCCGTGCCCAAATATGACAATAGCAAGCCACACGGGAGCAAGCTTCACATGGTCTAGGGTGCAAAACTAACGGACACCATGCCAAACGCAACTAAAAAGTTACAGTTTGCAACTCATTTTGACTCTCTGGTTGCCAACATTGGTGCCCAGCGTAAGTTAGGAGCAAACTCAGCTACCACTTAACTTCGAACCCTGTACATACCCTGAGGTTGAAGTGGAATTTCAAAGCAAGCTGCCTCGCCTACAAAAGTATGCTATAATGTTGATAGAATGTCTACAGCCACTTCATATTGACCTTCAAAAATGCAGTCTTAAAAGTATCTTCTGCACAATAATTATTTCCACGTCCTAGACTTTTCCACATCATTTTAGCTAGCCTCACAAGGAAAGCAGTAAAGGAGGAGAAAGTAGCAAAAGACTGTCCAGCATAAGAGGAGAGAATCATTAGCCGATGTGGCTACTATCAGCTGAAACATGAGTAGCCATACAAATCGTGGCAACTCTACTTCTTGCACACTTTTCTAGCCAAAATATGTTAAAAAGTATGCCTTGTATTGGTTATTTTGGCTAACGTCCGTACAGTATCTATACATGCATTATACTGTACCCTAATACTCTGTACTAATGTACTAATGAAGCACATAAGTAGTTGTCCTCCCCAAACTGTACAAACTTCTCCCATCCAGAGACAAAAACCAAAGAGAGCACTGATTCACACCGAGCCCTACTGGAAACTATGTAGCTAAAGTGGTATACATTACAGATACACACGAGAGAATCAGACGCAGTGTGGGATAACCGTTGGGAGCGCGAGGGAGAGAATTTCGCCAGGTGTTCAAGTGGACGCACTGTCTCCCTGTTATACAGACGAGTGGGACAGGGCAGTGTTGTCACTCGGCGGATTAAGAGGCACGTCATATATGGACACACGAGGGCTAGGGTGTACCGGAGCGTCATTAGTCACATTACAAGAAACACACACATTTGCTCGCTCTCTCGAAGGCCATCCAAATCTCTCACTGTACCCCCCACAGAGCTTCCTGTTTGTGAAGACCCAGGTAGTGTACTGACATGTATGGACACACCTTTACCTCAACAATGCTTCAAACCACTGACAACACACCTGGTGTAAGTACATACCTATGTACAATACTTAATTCATAGGGTGTATTTTCATCATGTAGGCAGGAACAATGGGATTGGTGTAGTGTCTGTGTACACTTACGCGACAGCACTGTGGTCACACAACAATTAAACTGCTATTCCTTGAGAGAGAGAGAAAGCAACGACAAACACGACAAGGGAAACACCACGTTGTAGTACGTATCCAAACAGGAAACAATAATTATTCGTCTGAAAATGTGATGCAATTGTGGTAGTTGGTGTATTTGTTACTTACTAGAGTAGGAAAACGACTGCAGAGTGTTCCAATAATCGTGAAACTAATAATATGACAGAATTGAACTAGTTAACACACAAAAAATGTGCAGAAAGGAGGGGAAAGATGATATATTATGAACATTTCGGCAAATTCATAGACAAACCATGTAAGCCAGAAAACACACAATTGCAATGCAGACATTCTACCGTTCTTCCTAACCAGCCTATGTATATATGTACCTTCACTCGTTAGAGGAAGCAAACAATAATTACGCAAGACGCCATCACACAATTGCAACACAAATGCTGTAGTGTGTGTGTGTAGTACCACGGCAGTGAGGAAGAGGTCCTTGCTGCTGATGGAGCGGAGGAATCGAGGGTTTGCCTCAGTCAGTCGGTGGACGTAGAGGAGACCGAGAATCACACAGGATGGAGACACGCCCCCCTCCCTAGTGACCAGGGAGAGAAAGAGGGGATAGAGGGGAGGAGAAAGGGGAAGGGGTGGGAGGAGAGGGGTTAGGAAGGAGGGGTGTTAGTTAGGGGAACGAGTGGAAAATACAAAGGTTCACTTTTGGAGACGGGGTAATATTTGTTTGGTCTATGGCATTCACCAAATGCCCATGCAAATGAAAAGCACTTGAAAGTGCATAACCCTCGCCACTGTTGATTATGGAGGTTCAATAGTTGGCTGTCTCAGAGAAGATCAGAGACTGCTCTTCCTTTAATAATTTCAGCTGTATTCTTTCTTTGAATACTTGTTAAACCATCAATACAGGCAGACCAGCAAATATTCTCCACACGCGCAAAGCATCTAACATCAAGTACAGCAATCGTCCACGATCTCTATTTGACGCACACTCACCTCGGTAGCCGACCAGCTTCCCCGGCCTTCTCCGCTCCAGAATCTTATTTTACCATGCATGCATTCTACTTGATAATATGTCCACATTTCACACTCAGAGTTGCCGCAGTTACCGGTGGACAGACGGACGGACACACGCACACACACACAGACGGACTACAATAACCCTCGCCTGCACGGATTAACAATTCCTTGGGAGTTGGCACAAACTCTCCACACAAGGTTCAGTATACACGCAAGTCCATAACCCTCCCCACTGTCGAATACAATATCCTGCATTAGATTGGATGTATGTACATACAGCTTGCAGTACAGATTAATCACATCACTAAAGTGTCATGGTAATAAATGTTCAGCGAAGCAGGAAGTAATTTAGTAGAAGAATGCTGTGCATTCCTTGGCAGACAAGGTGTATGATTGGGCACTTCATACATTCCGTACAGCACGCAGTGCAGTGCATGCAGCTTTGGCTAACAATTACAGGGTTCTTTTTACTGTAGCAAAAAACCAATGAAAAGCACTAAAGTGCAAACCCTCGGTGCACTGCACATGCACAGTACAGCTAATTGATGGGCTGGGCTATGAATAAGCGTTTACTCGTGGTCTCCTGCTAGTAGCGTCTAACATGGGCTAGATATAGCATGCAAGAGTCAACACATGCCCTTCGTTGTGCCTTCTTGTGTCCCCAAGGTACGCAGAGCAAGCGGATCAGGTCGCGGTAAGCCCGGTGCGATTATGCATATTGGCTTTTTCGCTTGTTTTCACGGCACATCTCTCGAATGCAGTCGTCTCAGGAAAATTGTTATTTTATTTTTCATGCTCCTGTAGTTGTATGAAGGTGCTCATAGGCAGCAAAATATTGAAATGCTCACGCTTGCTTGCCAACAATGCGTTGCACTCTAGTACAGTTGCATTAATGAAGAGTGCTCAACAGATATCTTGAATTGGTTAACACAAGCATGTGTCTATAGACTAACATATTGTGCAATGTGCAATGACGGGTAGTAATACTTGGGCAGTAAATAGTTACACCATCCATCTATATAATAGCTAGTCATGCAATCAGAATAAGCATCCAGCCCAGTAGCAGTAACGCTTCCGTCCACATTTGATTCTGATGTAATAGCCAATGACGTCATGCTCTGCCACGTCATATGCATTCAAACACTCCAAATAAGGAGTTGAAATTACGTAATACGTCATAGGGTGCACACACCTTGTGATGTCTGCTACGTATCCCTCCTTTAGTGGCTTGGCCTTTAGACTCGACACGGGATCCAGGGACTCCAGAACTACCTCTGTGTGTGTGTGTGTGTGTGTGTGTGTGTGGTATATTCAACCCTTATCCGCTATTAGCCAAACATCTATGTATGGTAGTGTGCTAGGGTAAGGCTAGAAGCAGTACCAACTCACCGCTAAGGGGCCCGCTAGACGATCTGAACTCGTCCACGTCGGGCAGGTAGACCCTTTTCCTGACGCTCTCGGAACGCTGGTTGTCGACTAGGGAACGACCCATGGCTGGACTGCTTTATTATCTACGACTTGAGACGCTTCAGTAAGAACAAATTGTCTTCGAGTCGAGTTGAGGTACTTCAAGCCAGTGGAACGCAAAAGAAGCCGGGAGGGGCGTTGTCAAACGGCCATTTTGTCAGAGGGTGTGCGCGCGTAATATAAGCGCTCATATTAGCCCTTTATCTGCGCATGCGTAGGAGTGGTTTTAGCGCGCATGCAAACTGCACAAGTTTTGATGATGATAATGCTGATGATGATGTTGATTTTTTGTGTATGATTGGATAGACTGATGAGAATAAATATTATCTACCAAAAAACAATGTGACTGACATAAACAAAATAATTGGCAGCTATATAAAAAAGGAGAGAGGCTAGGGTACACAATGATTGTTGAGCATAAATATGGCAGTCAGTGATGTAATCATAGTATATCGTGTGGATATTCATACCAGTCCAGTCTGTTTGTCCGGCTCTATTGTAATAAGTGACACAGTGATTTTTTGTCAGTGTTAAACACTGAGACCTGGTTTTTCGGCGTGTATATATAATTTTACGAAACGGACGGAGACACATGTAATGAAACGAAGAAAGGTCCTTGCATCACGTGCATACGTGATACCGTCTTCTCTCGGGGCACTTGCTGCAGCGAATCTCACAACAGAACACAAATTCGCACCAACAGTTACTCTCTGTGCTTTCTTCTATGCTGACGTGGCCCAGCCCACATCGGGTGCAGAGATTTTCGCAGGAATTGGGTCCCGTGGTGTGTGGGTCACACTTTCGTCCGGCCGTCCCCAGCGACCCCACCACCACGTCCCGGACACAGTAGTTCGGAGAGTCCACCATGTAGATGAGCTTGTTATCTCCACATCCGGGCGGACGAACAAACGCGCTTCCCTCCCCGACAATGTTGTTCCACCTCACTTTGCAGGTGCGATTGGTGAAGTAGTAATCTTGAATGCGGTGAGCCAACTGACTGAATTCTGGGAGTTCGTACTGACATGTGAGAACTGTACACGATCCTGACACACCAATGCAGTGACAGACGTACGGCGGTTCGTCTTCATCTTGCACCACCTGCAAATCAACAGAAAAACATAGCATGTCGGAGAGCCTAGATTGCTAACAAACACAACACCTTAGAGGTACGCACTCTCGCTAACACCACCCGCCATGCTGTACTAATATAGGTGTGTGCAGTGCAACAATCTTTTGCGGCCTCCCTCTGTTTGTACTGCACCGCACTATACCCACACTGAGCAGGTGAAAAGGATATTAACACATGAATTCACCAGCACATGACTATTATTACCATGCTGCGTGTTGATCTGTAGTCATACTGAATGAGTGAAGCACGCATGCTTAGGAAGCACCGATATGCAAAGTATACTTCTTCCCAAATTCACTTCTTATAGTAAGCGACTTGTGCCAGTGGCTAAAGGGGGACCCTGGTAAATTAAGAAGCAGCCCTAAATTTACTTTTGATTACAACAAAGTGCATGCTGGGCATGCTGGCAGCTAGGCAACCGAGGCTTCGCGGAATGTCCAACCGTTGGGAAAGCATGCAGAGAGAATCACACCAATTTGCACACCCCACACCGAAAGGAATATCTATTGTCCTCCGGGCGGACACGCCGAGAGAGAAGTCATGCTTACCCGGGCACCGATGCGCATGTTCTCCCTTTCAATTTCCTGCAGTGGCCCGACCCCCAAGTGTCTCTTGTGCAGGAAGTTGGTGGCAAAGGTGAGTCCAAACCCGACGTTGTCAGAGCAGCCCATGGCATAGCGTCTCTCGCTGTCAGTAGCCGGGAGCTCCAGTCGCTCCGTGTCACACGAGCATGAGGTGACGTCTCCCACTGCACACACTTTGGCCACAGAGTGGGCAATGGCCGCCAGTGACAGGGCGTGCACATAGGCCGCCTCTTTCGTGGCTGCAAACAGAGGAAGAAGAGAAGACTTCATTAGACCCACTAACACCTTTAAACAGCCTCACTATGTGGGCAGACCCGACACTCTAAATGAGCAACTTGCTAACGTAGGGTGCTTTTCACACACACACACACACACACACACACACACACACACACACACACACACACACACACACACACACACACACACACACCACACACACAACCACACAACACACACACACACACACACCACACACACACACACACACACCACACACACACACACACACACACACACACACACACACACACACACACACACACACACAACACACACACACACACACACACACACACGACAAAACAGAAGGTTGCATACCAACACTAGTAGCACAGATATGAAGCACTACTTACACTCCAGAACCACAAACACACACTCTAGATGGGGCTCAGAGTGACTTCAACCAAATACTCTACACCGAGACACTCTGCCGGGTTCTAAAGTGTCGCCCGCTGCTACTACACCTCTGCAACTGGAGGTTTTCTCCCTCCAGCAGAGCGTGCCAGGTGTACAAATCAGGGCAGGGGGAGGGGATAGGGGTTACGTGAGCTAAAGAACCTCCTCTTCTTAACCCGACAACCGCTCACGCCGTCACATACACAGCTGCATTCCAAACTGGCTTCAGGCGGACCATAAGAGTAACTATCGCCCTCTCCCCCATACATTCTGTACCCCCTAGCCCGCTAGAGCTGCCGGCACGGATAATTCCTTGTGTGACGCGGGCATTTTTCCATATCAACACCTTTAACCTGCATACTTAGAGAATTCATGCATAATTCTCCGCCGATTATGCAAGGTTACTTAACCGATATCGTATGAAGATATCGTAAGGTCGTTTATTTAATTTCAAAACCCATTACCTAGCAATAAAGTGTGACAGTTGAAGAAAGGGTATGAAAACCACGCTATCCATTGCTCCAGCCTATCGCTAGTACAGCACCAAGACCACACGGAATGTCAAACGCCCATTTTTTTAGCGCATGCCCCAGCAGTAATCCTCGTACTTGCAAAGCCATTGCTGTGCACGCAAGCACATTCAAACATAATCCAATCGGGGACAAACAAATTCTGTTTGTGTATCTACAGCAGGTTTTGCATGTAGCTAACTAGAGTTAGTGCTGTGTGAAACCCGAGTTGTTGTTCCGAACTACTAGATCACGCGGGGAAATTCATATGCATATTCTAAGCAAGATGCTAGAGGAGCTGGTGGAGTATTACCGCAACCACGAAACACCTGGCCGAATAGAGCCATAATCAGGACAGCGATGGAACACACACTCGACAAATTCTGCAAATGCCAATCAAATTCTCGTTAGCATTATCTGTTAATTAAACGAGTCTGGGCTGTCGTTCGGAGCTAGCTAGCGTCCCAGGCAGCTGCCTAACCCCACAGGCAAAGATTGACGAACACAAACAATTGCTTGAAGGATAAACACACAGTGCAAAGGACCGCAAACATTCCATAAACGGTATGCGAGTTACGAGTGGTGCCGTGCAGCCGCTATTAATTAAGGAGTGAAAGAGAGTTACGATTATTTACACTTAGAAATCTCGTCCCCCACACGGTGTTTTCTCTCTCCTCCATGCTGCACTGATTGCTCCATTAATTCGATTAACTAAAGGCAGGTGCATATACCTTATGATGTGAATTTTAGTAAAAATGAAGGGTTGTTGTTGCCAGGCAAGCTAAGAGAATACCAACGTGGCTGCGTGTCTTGCTATGCGGCCCATATTTTCTTTTGTTATTGCAATTATTGCTACTATTCACGGAATGCAAAGGGGAAGCATGGGACTGTACTTTATAATACCCAACATACAACACTCTAGTTATAGCTACATGCAAAACCTGCTGTAGATACACAAACAGAATTTGTTTGTCCCCGATTGGATTCTGTTTGAACGTGCTTGCGTGCACAGCAATGGCTTTGCAAGTACGAGGATTACTGCTGGGGCATGCACTAACAAAGCACTCAATGGATGTTTATGGATGTCTATGTATGTAAACGTGCCTCCCTTCGACGAACTCTGCAAGAGCATGCTTGGCCCTCCATGCATTAAGACACGTGTCAGGAGACAACGGATAGGCAAAACACGACATGGTGATACGACAGTCAACTCTGCAGCACCGCAATGCTACACGGGTATGGAACACAACACACCAAAGAGAAAGTGTGGTTTCGGAGCCAAATTTTTTACCCCACAAACGTGCTAAGTTAACGAGAGTCGGACCCCCCAGGCATCACTAATCCTGCCTATGTATTTACACTGGCAAACACCTGGAACACGTACGACCACTTGTCTAAAGTTCAGTGGGCACTGTGTGTGTATGTAGATTGAAGCACGGATTTTCTTACCCAGTGAGGTGACGTTGGGGGCTCTGAGGATGGAGAAACTGGAGCAGTTCCACATCTCCCTCTCGAAGGCTCTCTGGCACTCCTCGCGACCCAACTCCTCTGCAATCTGCAGGGCCACAATCAGGTCGCTGTGATGCTGGCACACGTAGACTCCCTGACTGTAGGTGTCAAAGAGCTGGAGACAGTTCTCGGTGGTGGTGGTGGTGGTGGTGGTCGTCGTGGTACTGCTGATGCCACACACACCCACAAACAGCCACACCAGAACCACCAATGACCTGCAGAAAAAAGTAAATATCAATTCACATCAAGCAGCCCACTAAAATAGCAGGGGAGTTGGTATTTACGGAGTAGACGTCCAGCAATATTATCAGCTGTTGCTCGTAGACGACACAACAATGCAATATGCAGCAGACGCACGCACAACAGTATAACCTACCACGGAAGCAGGGTCCGCAATGACAAGGTAGAAACGCCTCTCCCGGTCGCCGGGCTGCTGCTCCCTGCGATGGTCGGCGACATGCCGTTGTTGTAGCCTATACTTGTTCGCTGCATCGAGTTCATTTCTGGCTATAGCGTCTATCACCGTCAGTTTTTTTGTTGCAATTCTAAATGCTTAGCTATGTATGCACACTTGCGTCGTCTTGGATCAGTGCTGGTTATTTTATACACTGCGATTCTTCGTCTGCAGCTTTATATACGTGCTTCGCCGTTGCGTAACTGCCAGTGATCGATGTGTAATGCGAAGTTTTTGTAAACCGGGCGCCTGTGCGCATGCGCTAGTGTGTGAGCGAAACAAAAATCAAGCAAAATACATCACCACTAGAACCATTACAGTCACAGTAACGCAGAGGCCTGTCCAGAAAACCCATTTGTCCTGGAGAAGGAAGAAAACAATAGAGAGCAGTAAATCCTGTTGGCTCACTGCCACTTGCTGCATTATGCTTCATTTGGAACTGGTCCTACTCTGAAGTTTTAAAGTGCCCTGCATTTTTCAGTGACAGTGACTATATTGTATGTTGAAAAAAAACCTATACTAACATTCAGAATAGAAAATACCAGGCCACACGCACACACACACACACTGCATACGAATACTACAAAACACTTCCTGAAGGCCAAAATTAATTAGTGGTAAATTCCTGAATAATTAGTAGTAGTTAATACTGATGTTGTGGTACACAGGAGGGCAATGTAGTTGCCTTGTCTGATCCACTCGGCTGAATTAGCGTGTCAAGTACCTGAAAACAGTGGCACAGATGAGCTGCCATCACCATCATTACAAGCACAAACTATTTATGCATATTTCGACAATTAGCCGAGCCAGTTATGGATTAATGATTAATTTGACCAGGCTGGATTGAGTACAAGAGGACTGCGTACACAAGTTTTTGTTGCTGACATTCAGTGAAATGTGGTTAATGGACAACGATCAATCTTATCATTGCACTACCTCCATTTCCATCTGCGATGTACACTCGAGACCAAGAAGGGAAGAGTTTTGTTGCACACTCCTCTATTTCCCCTACACATGCCAAATTTCTGACTTGCCAATTACAAACCCCTTTAGTTATTGTTCCTTTTAACAAACTCAGCCGAAAACAGTGCTAGTATACGGGAAACGCCTGATTAACCCCATGAATATGCATTTCAACAAACGACATGAATGCAGCGCGTTGACGTGACACCGTATTCGGTTGCTTGTTGAGGAAGTTTACACAGAGTTTTAATCCGATCTACACAGAGCGGATAACTCCATTGTATCACCACAAACAACACACAAATTTTGCCAATGCACACACGTTATACCCAAAACCATCCTATATTTGATCAGAGCTGGTGCACTCTATCATTGGTTAGGTCATCCCGTGCTCCCCCACTGTGCCACTGACAGGCAACAACTAAAACCAATAAAACTCAGGTAGCACGTGTAGGGGCGCTAGAAATTGAGTTTCTAACTTCAAAGAGGCGTTATTTGGAAAAGTAAACGTGGTTACAGCGCAGTTTAGGCACGTGTATAGCAACTGGGGGGGGGGCCTTCGTTTCGTTGGTCTTACGTTCGACTGGAGACTGTGGGATTGGGACGCAGAGTGTAAGTGAAGGTATCGTGGTCATAACTGCTGTCGATCGACTAGGCAGGGATTTAATGCCATGAAATCACAGACCCAACAAACTAGCATACACACCAATGAAACGCAACAGCAGGCAAGGGAATTACATAAATTCAGGCATAGAGCGGTATCAGCACACGTAAACATCGCAAGGCGTTGTACAGAACGGACACTTGAGAGACGAGGCAGCAGCATTATCTGCCTAGTAGTCTCACAATATGCTGATGTCCTCGGCAGGCGAGGCTGGAAAGAGCGCTGCGTGTGACATTTGGTAGGACACACAATCCTCGTTTGGTTCCTTAAGAGGGACACTCTGGGGGACTATTATTACAGCAGGGCTGTAGCACCATATCAACAGTATGTACTCCATACTCCAACTCTCCCGCCTCGCTGCTATGCATCATTTTCCATTAATATACTAGGAAACCACAAGTTTTTGCTGGTAATTGCATACCAGCGGAACCGCCATACTTTTCTTATGAGACATACAAGTAACTTCTTAAGTGTGCGTCAGGGCGCAAATGTTGGCCACATCGTCAAACCTATGCGCCGCCAGAAATGCATTGCGCATAGAAAACCTGGGTTCTGCTGCAGAGTTACACACTGGCAACGCGAAAGAGTACGTTACATACGTATGATTCCCTTCTCTACTACCTGACTTGTCCTTCTCTCGATGAGTCGCATGACGGTGTTAGAGAGCCCAAGTGTACTCATGACATCCAGCACTTTCCGCTGCACTCCCTGCAACAAAAGAATCAAGATGAAGAAATTCATCCCTGGAAATTTTTGGAGCATACGGTCAGACACTCGCTCACTTTTTTCCTCTCACCACTTATGTCATGACCATTTTATCGAACGCCCTAGTTCGCAGCGTAATTATTAGGTATCTGGTATAGGACAGTCCACCAGATCAAGAAAGCTAAGCAGAAAGACCAGTGACTGATTTGACTGTTTCAGCCAGCTATGTAGAATGCACACTAGCAAAGCTGGTATGTGTTGCTACATCGATTAAGACCCCCTATGCCCCCAGAGGGACCATAACAATAAACTTATAAGGCTAAAACATTGGGCAGTGAAACCTCTGAAGGGAACTTAACTCATCACAACCGTAATCGCGGCAACACATATACAACATAGGTCATGCCCTAACGGAATACCTATGACATCACCCTAATTACCACCTGTACTGCATAATCGAATGTGTGAATAAGCAAGCAGTGTGGTCTTCCTATCCTTCTACCAATTAGAGAAGCGCCGCACCTGCAAACCACAATCAGGATTCCGGGGATTTCATTTCGTGCCCAAGTGGCATACCGGTCTCTGGCAGGGCTGGCGCCAAAGTGCACCAGGGGGACATAGTCCCTCTATCTCTTCATTTGTCCCCCCGAACATGCTTTCCAGGGGACACTTTGACCCCCCAATAGTAGATGTGTTGTTATATTACCATCTAAATTTGTTGCTAGTGAGGCTGATTGTCCCCCAGCAATAAATCTCTGGAGCTAGCTCTGCATACATATTGAGAATGACTCCTTCCACTACGTGGACACCTATTCTAACAATTAGGAACACTCTCTTAACTTAAAGGAATCGGGACACGTCAACTGCAGTCGTTTAATCTGTACACTTGGCTAAAGCAGCACACCTCACTAGCAGTTCCAAATCCCTCGCCATGCAACCAATATCCGGAGCTATTGCGAGAATATAGCTATACAACCTTTGCTAGCTAGACGAGCACTGCCAGACTGCAGGACACATGCCTGTGGCTGGTCATGTGTGTGCATATACTTAAGTGCACCACACATAACTAAATAAGAAAGAGTATTAGTCATAGATTACACCACCCCATTGAAATCCAGCAATGCCTGCAAAATAACGTGGCAAACAGACCTGTGATTCAGGAGGTGCTGCATCTGCTGGAGGAGGCCAGATCTGGTGTCAGAGATGAAGGGAGTGAGAGGAACAAACGTGAACTGGTAGGAGCTCTTCAGACCCAGCCCAGGAACCAGGTGAGTAGCTCTAGAATGGCACTTCAGAGAAGCATGATTAGCGAAACCCAAATTTTGCATCAGAATTTGGAGCGTATACTGCGACACATGGTGAAAGAGATTGCAGACCTCCAGTCCAAAGTGGAGGGGCAAGACAGGGAGTTAGCTGTACTGCGGCTGCAGCTGGACACACTGAGTCCCGGTATGTACTTTTTTTAAAATGCATGTTGATTTTTCTCGAATTCCACGATTCCCTGTGTCAATATGTACAAGAGTTCTTCAAGATCCGCTTCCTTTGGTCTTGGTTTTATAAAAGTTCAATGCATACTTTTTATTTAGAAAGAAAAGCCCTCCTTTTAAAAGATCATTCTCAACTTGAACACACGATAGCCAACTCTCTCTGCACAACATTCCTCTATCTTTTATGTTCTCATGCCAGCCTGAAATCCATTCACCATAATGGGTGATTCAAGTATTGGACAGCAACTGCAAGTTCGAACATGAATTTGGCCGTGAAGGGAGTCGACCATCAGGTCTTACGATTGCTGACGGATATGTTTCCGATCTCAGCGGTCACTATATCGCCATTTACGAGACCTCGGGTAAGTTTGTCGCTGCGTTTGGAAAGGATGGTAATGAGGATGGTGAGTTCCAGGGACTACGTGGTATTAATACCTGTGTCGATGGATTTATTCATGTATGTGACAGTGGCAACAACAGCATGCAGTCATTTTGATTTTTTGTATAGTTGTTTTGATTTTTCTACAGAATACAGTCATTCTTCGATTTGATTTTTGTGCAGAATGTATATTATTTTTGTACAGAAAACAGCCTTATGATTTTTGTACAGAATACAGTCGTTTTAGATTATTGTATAGAAGAATACTTGATTTTATGCGATTTTTGTGACTGCAGACCAAGCAATATCTTTACCACCTACTCCCACTTTTCTGCACACTATAATATAGCTCTAGCGCACTAGACACTGTCCGCTAGATGCACACACATTTTGATACGCAATGACTCACGATCAATCTTTTACTAATGGCAGATGCGCGCTTGTATTAATTTTTGCAACCAGCGTCGCCATGCTGCGGCTGAACAACCGGCACACGAAAATTGCTCCCTCCCAAAAGCGGTCCCCCCGGGGGAACGGCTTTGGCGTGGGACCGTCGACGGCTGTGTCAGGACACGCATGCGCACTAAATACGGGAATAATGGCTGGA